CAAAGGCCGCGGCCTTTTGCACGTGACTTGCAGAAATCACATAAGAAAGCTAGTTTTTCTATAGACTTAGAGAATAATCCTTTATAAGTATTCAATTAATTAAGCTTTTGTATACTATATACTATTTATACTTTACTATTTATGCTTTTGATTTATTATTTTACTATCAAGTCATATTTTGCATTCTAGTATACTTTATATGGGTTTTTGTCTTATTATAGTTTCCCTCCTATATATTTTATAGTAAGTAATACAGGGAAGATAGAAACTTTATAGTTAAGGTAATACTCTTATAAAGTTCTGAGAAGTATCTATAAGGCAGATTATTTGCTTAGTAAGTTAGGAGAGAAAAGGGCTATTATAATACCTTGAGCCTAAGGCCAAAATATTAAGGATATATAAGTATTAATCTCAGTATCTTATATTAATTTCCGATATACCCAGTAACTTGAATACAGGTTAGCCGCAAGATGTAATTACTAGTATAGTATATAGAGATAGTGGAAATAGAGGCTAACTATAGAAAAAAAAGAAGCAGAGGAAATAGAATGAGAAATATTATACTAAGATAGTATAAGTCAGACCTTAGTTGGAATTAGACTTTAGTACTCGGAAATAAAGTTATACTATTAATTTATATATTGTTTTTAGTTATAATAAAAGCCGGAATTAAAATAGCCTTAATTTTAGTAGTAAAGCTTATTCCTAAGTCCAAAAAAGATACCCAAAAGAGGGAATACCCTCAAATTTAAGTAGAATAGCAAACTAGAATCGGAAATAAGAATTAAAAAGAAATCGGAAATAAGAAATTATATAGACAAACTAAAGAAGCTTCTAGAGAAAGGAATAGATACTAAATAGAGAAAGAAAAGAGAATTTAGAAAAGTCAGAAAAATTAGCGAAATTATTTTTATTATTTTTATTACCTTTAATAGTATTAATAGATATATCCAGTTCGGTGAAATCAAGGGAAAATACTATAGATATTAAACTAATAGAACAGGAAAGAAAGTATAAATAATAGAAATAAGACTAGAAAAGTTACTACTTTATTACTACTAATACCAAAACTTGAATCTCGACTATATCTGTTATTATTAACCGGTTTCTCTCTAATCCCGGTTCCTAAACTAAAAGATATACTTAAACGGGAAATTAGTTCTTTAGGAACCTTATTAGTAGAAGTCTTAGGTATAGAAACTCTATAATTAATTATAGAAGAAATTATTAAGATTAATATAGCTAAGAATAAGTATATACTAGTACCGGATTTAAACCTACTATTTATAGGAGCTCCTGGAGTACTATAGTTTCAGGGAAGTAATATTTCTATATTCTTGGAATAGTATACGGATATATATAAGAACTATTATATTCTTAATAATACTAAAAGAGAGAGAATTATTTATTATATCTCTCTTATTTATAAGAATTAGATTAAGACTATACCGGAGTATTATACTAATAATCCAGGAGATTACCAGGAGACCAAGTTCTTTAAGGCCTTATTAAAGGAATTCCGAAAATATAACTAGGAAATACTTAAAATTAGCTATAACTTTCTTAATCGGATTATTATATAAGCTCAGAATAGAAGAATCTCGTCCAAGTCTTATATTAATATATTTAATAAAGTATTAAAAAAATTACTAAAGAGAAAAGAGATAAATAAAATTACTTAGTATCGAGAATTTATAAGGGAATTATCTATTCTAATAAGAGATTATATTCTTAAGAATACGAACTTTAAGCCTATAGATATTTCTATTTATAAATATAGTAAGATATATAAGAAGATAGTAATATTCTATTAGTATAAAGAGAAGAAATATTATTTTAATATTACTAATAACCCAGATATATCCAGACTTAGATAAGAATACTTGGATATAATAGTCTATAATATAGTTCCTAAACTAGAAAATAATTATTTCTTACTGGTTTCTCTTATTATACTTCCTAAAGCTACTATAGGTATAAGTAAGAAAAGAATCTAGCTTGTAGCTAATTATATAAAACCTACTAAAAGTAGTAAACCCAAGGGAAATAATATTAACTAGCTAGTAAGAAGTCTAGAAAAACTATTTATTACTATTATAATTTAAGAAAACCTATAGAAATAACTTAATATAACTACTATTATAATTCGGGAAAATATTTATAGCCTGCTTATATAGCCTAGCTAATTATAGTAAGTATAATAGTATTAATAGCCTAGTAGGTATAATTCGAGTCTTTAGAGAGAATATACTAGAAGTTATAATAAAGGTTATAGAGAATGCTATAGTAGCTATAATAGTCGAGCTAGAATAGGTAAAGGATCTAAATAACTATATTTTAGAGAAAGTTAGTCTCAAATATAATTAGAAAATACTATTTAGGTTAATACAGCCTATAATATAGACCTAGAACTAAGAGAACGAATTTGCTATAGATACTATAATAGGAATAAGAATAATAATATTAACCCAGAATATATCTATATTTCTTAGTTCTATTACCTACTAATAGAAGAACTTATAAACTATAGATATATTTACTAATTTAATAGAAGATAGTATAAAAGGCTATTTAAGCCTAGATAAGAAAGCATTTTCTTTTTCCTTACTAGTAAATACCGGTAATTTGACTAAATTATTTCCTAAATCCAAGGAAAAGAATTCGACTATAACTTGAATACTCGACCCAAAAATATCTAGAGATTAATAGGAGATATCCAGTTTACTAGGCAAGAAAAAGAAAAAGGAACTAGCTAACCGGAATTTATATATAGAAGCAAGCAAGTTATACCTAGGGAATCTAAATAGCTACTTTGCCTTAGAGGAAATTATATTAGAATTACTAATACTTTAGGTTCTAGAATTAATAAATAATACCAAGATTTGGCTATAAATAGTATTTCTATTAATACTATAACGGGTTCCTTATTAAGAAAAAAGGAAAAAGAGATAGAAATAGCTAAAGAAGTTTTCTAAAAAACAAGCCAGAATAAAAGAGAAGCTATCCTATATAAGAGGCCAGAAGAATACTATTCCAAGAAATAATAGATAAGGAAATAGCCTAGCTAAGAATATAAATATTAATACTTCCGGAAATAAATAAAACAAATTAGAGACCTAATATACTCTTGACTATAATAAGTATAGAATTCCTGAAATTAATAATATTCTAATAAGACTACTAAAGAAAGTAACTATCCTATTTCCGAAAACTCAGAAAGAAATAAGAATACTTATTAATGCCTTAAAAATACTAAATCTAGCTATTATATTTTAGAACTAATAGATTAAGGATAATACTCCTTATCTTACTATCTTATAAATAGGAAATACTATTATATTAAGTATAGTTAGATATATTAGAAGATCTATAGAACTAGCGGCTACGGCTTATATAATAGATAGAATATTTAAGGAATTAGAAATACTAGCTCAAATACCTAATACTAATAGAATTATTTAATTTAAAGGCAATAATATTAATATTCGGATATTACTAGCTTATAAATATATTATGCGAGCTCTATATCTCCGGTTTGTATTTCGAGAACCTTAAAGGAATATCAAATATAAAGAAATAATTAATACTAGAGCTAAAATTAATATTTTCTCCGAAAAGATCTCTAGAAGTATTAGTAAAGTAATATATAATACTATAGATTATTAAATATTTACTATTACTAGGGCAGAATTTGAATTTACAGGAATAGTAAAGTTTAGAGCTAAGATTATAGATAAAGTAGGATATAAAGATATATTCTTTCTAGTTAAAGGAGCTCCAAAGATCCTACTTAGTTAATTATTCTTAGTAAAAATAAAGATAAATATTATATATAAGAATAATGATTTATAGGATAGAAGATTTACTAACCCTAAAAACAATTAGAATACCTATATTATTATAATTATTCTACTTTTAAAAAATACCGGAAAGTAGAAAAAAGTAATAGTTTAAGAATATCAAGCTCCCAGAGTCAAGGAATTAAGTAATATAAAGCAGGAAACTAAAAATAAAAAGGAAAAATAGAGCCTAGTATTATAATCAGTAGTAATATTAGGAGAAACGGGAAGATACCGGAATTTCCTATAGATTCTTTTATTTTAGGTTTAGGAGTTCAGGAAATTAATAATATTTTTAGAGAAACTAAAGCAGAAAAGGTTCTAATTAGAGTATTATTAAAAGTAGTTCCGGAATTAATAGAAAAAGAAGTAAAAAGGATATTAAATAAAGATATTTCTAAAAAAGAGATAAAATAGTATCTCCCAATAATAAAGGAATATATTCCCAAAGCTAAGAAATATCGAACTCAAGACTAAAAAGAATTCTGGAATATATAGAAGCTTAAGAAAGGTATATTAAAATACCGGACGAAAAGGCGCTCTCTGTACCTAACTAGAAAGAAGCTAAATAGGAAAGTTATAAATTCCGGAGATTAGATAAAAAGAGTACTAGAGAAAATAGCTATAGCTCTTAAAGAAAAGAATAATAACTATAGTCTATTTCTAGTTATAGAAGTATATAAAATAAAGAATAAAAAGGTTTAACTAGTAGATACTAATAATAGAACTAGAAAAGGCCCTAGTAAATGTCCAGACTAGTTTAAGAGATCCAAAGCTAGAAAATACCTATAGGAATATACTAGAAAATATAAGAACTACCTTTTACTAAGGATATTAGCTATTTTAAAAGGTTTATAACTTACTCCGGAATGTCTTAAATAATTGAATATTAGTAACTAGCTCTGGGAAAAGGAACTAGCTATATTTCAAGAATTAATAATTAATTAAGAAAGTATAATTATATTTAATTAGAAAGAAGTAAGAAAAGTCTATAAGAATATTAGTTTATCTATTCTAATTAAGACTATTGAGTATAAAGCCTGGTAAGAGAAGAATTTCCCATATCCCAAAGCTCTAGTACTAGTAGTAATAAAAATACTATTAGAATACCTAGATTATAGAATCCTTAAGAAATATAATAGACCTTACCAAAATCTATAGTTCTTGATTATAAAGAAGATTACTAGGACTTATAAACTAATTAATACCGCTATAAAGATAAATTCAGTAACCTTACAAGACGCTAACCTACCCCTATCTACTAACGAGATCTCGGAAGAATTTACTAAATATACTTATACCTCTCTAATTAATTTCTTTTCCGGATATAATTAACTTATATTAGACATTTATAATAGAGATTTAACTGTATTTATAACGCCTCTGGGACTATTAAGAATAACTATACTATTTTAGGAAGCTACTAATTCCGTTATATAATTTATACGGGTTATTATAACTATTCTAGAGAATCTATTTCCTAAAATCGCTATACTATTTATTAATAATATTAGAGTTAAGGAACCTTATATAAACTATAATAAATAGCTTATTTTACCCGGAATTCGGCGTTTTATATTTAAATACTTTTAAAACCTGGATATAACCCTAGATAAAGTTAAATAAGCCAGAGCTAGTATAAGAGAAAAATCACAGTTCTATTATAATAATATAGTTATTATTAGCTTTATCTATAGAGTACTTAGAAGAAGCCCTTCAAGTTCAGGAATTACTAAGATCTTGAGATAGGAATATTATAATAATATAACTAAAAGTAAGGCATTTATTAGAATTATTATTTATTACTACATTTGGATTAAAGGCTTTATAATTATTACTAAACCCATTTACTACTTAATAAGGAAAGATATAATACAAAACTAGAATAATAAATAAAAGTAAGCTATATGAATTCTTTAAGAAAAGCTTACTATAGCTCTAATATTCTATAAATTATACTATAATCTATTAGAAAGTTAGGGAATAATTATATTAGTAGTAGATATTAGCCTGGATAAATAGAATAGAACTCTTAGTTAATATAATAATAAAAGGAAAAAGAAAGTCATATAATACGAGTCTGAAATCTGGAATAATACTAAATAAAAATATAATACTACTAAAAAAAAATACTAAGGGCTAGTAAAATATCTATAGAAAGTATAATTCTGGCTATATGAAGTTTACTTTATCCTTAAACTAGACGCTAATATACTCGTTATATAGCTAAGTAAAGTAGCTACGGATCTTCCTAAAGCTCTAGTTACTTACTAGCTAGTATGAATTTAGTTATTTAACTTTAAAATCAAGTATATTAAGGGAACTAAGTATACTACTACTAATAAATTATTAAGACATCTATAGTAAGAAGGCAATACCGAAAAAGATAAGAATATTAATAAATAATTAGTAATAGAGCTTAATATTATTAGAATAATACCTATTAGATAGAAAATTCAAATAAAGGAAGCGGTTCCGGTTTAATTACGTAATATCGTTTTGAGGAATCCAATTCTTAAGACCTTTACTAGATATTTAAATAATAGTATCTAGTTACTAGAGATTAATAATTAAAGCCTTACCATATCTAGAAGTAAATTAGTAATATTAAAAAATAATAAAATCCAGAAGTTATATAGTAAAGGCCATAGCCTTTTATATATAACCTCCGGTAAAATAGTAAATAATAATACTAACTTCTATATTTTATTTAATAACCCGATTATTTTATTAGACCCCTTAAATAATAGCTATTCCAAATAATACTAGAATATTATATAATATCTTATAATATTTTTTAGACTAAAAAAAATATCTAGGGCCAAGTTTTAAAAGTTAAGTAGGAAAGCTTTGAATTATAGTATAAGAGATTAATTACTATAGAGAGTTATATCCAAAATATACTTATTTTAACTTATTATTAATAATTAAGAATAAAGAGAAATCATTATTAAAGAGCTATATAATAAGATTAGATATACCGGAAAAGAAAGTACCTTTTACTTAGTAGCTAGTTACTATTACTAGGAAAGTTACTATAACTATATACGGAAATATATTAATACTTGTAAGATCTATTAGTATAAAAGTAAAAGAAAATAAGAAGAAGCTCTATATCTAATAAAAGCTATATCCCTTTTCTATTACCTTGGGATTAATATAGTTAAACTACTAGATTATAAAGAATATAACTTATTAGTTATTACTAGAGATAACTTCTCAGGATAGATTAAAGCTAGATTTTTAAAGAATCTAACTAGTAAAAAGGTAGTCAAGTTTATTTAGGAAGAAATTATTTATAAATATAGTTTATTTAGGTAGCTTAAGGTAAATAGCAGATCAGAATTCAAAGAAGTAGTAATTCAGGAATTTAATAAGCTAGGAATTAATAGAATTATTATTTTGGCCTATAATTCTAAAGGAAATAATATAATTAAAAGAGGATATTAACTAATTATTCAAGTATTTATAGTACTTATAATAGGTAAAAAGAAGCCTTAGGTAGATTTACTACTATATATTCTATTTACTAACCGAATTACTATATATAAACAAACTGGATTTATTTCCTTTTATATAATCTATAATAGGGAAATAGTATTACCTATAGAAATATACTTTCTAATCTAGAGAATACTTAAATAAAATAAAGTCTATAATAGAGAAATACTTCTAGAAATATATATAAAGTAAATATAGATAAGAAATAAAAATATTAAAAAAGCTAGAATAAAAAAGAATAAAAAATACCAAAAGAAAAAGAAGTAATTTAATACTATTTACTAGATTCATTTAAAGCCTATTTCCGAAAAGAATCTAGTTCTTATATATAATATTAAATTAATAGATTAAGACAAATTAAGAAATATAAAGCTACTATATTACTAGCTTGGCCTATATAAAGTAAGATATACAGATTAACTAAAAGAATACTATATACTAGAAGAACTTAATAATATTATATTCCGAAAAACATATACCAGAAATTAACTTAAGTAGTTTATTAAAAGAAATGAATTCTAGTATTTCCCTAAAAACAAAGTTAATAATAAGTATATACCTATAAATAAATGTTTTAAAATAGATATAGAACTAGAAAAGAAAGTAGTTATAGAATACTATAAGCAAAATAATACTTAAGAGATTAAGAAAGCTACTAGTATTATTATATATATTCTAGAATTACCGGAATTAGAAAAAGTAAAGTATATCTCTTTTATAAAGAATTAGGAGAAAGTATCTAATAATAGGAGCTCTTCTTAATCTGAAATAAAGCTTATTATATTTAATTCCTTATATATATTTTAAATTTTCCTTCTAATTATTATTTATAACTTTTAGAGAATATTATTATTAGACTATTATTCTAGAAATCGAATAAGCTTTACTATTACTTATTTCTTACTATTATCTAATTACTACTACTAGATAGTATTCTTAATATATGAAATTCTATTACTAGATCTTAGGAATCAAATATAAAGAATCCCTTTTAGTATAAAAATAAATAAAAAATCGAGAAGTTATTTTATAAACTCTTGACTCCGAACTATAATAATAGATAATAGCTATATTTGGAATTAGAGAAAGAAGAGAAGAAAAAAGAGAGTTTTTTATATATGTTTTACTAAACTAGGAACCTTTTAAAGGCTCTATTCGCTTTTTTAACTAGCTATTCTTGCGGTTTATACTAGTCTAAAGCTTAACTATAATATCTATAGATCTCGACTTTAACTTGAACTATTATTACAAGTTTCCTTATAATACCCAAACAAACTTCCTAATTAGGAGTTATATATAGACGAAATAGCTAAACTAGAAGCTCTATAAGAGGAAAAAGAAACCTTATTAAATCTAATAGTTATTTCCAAAAGTATTTAATAATATGTGATTCTGGAAATCTATTAGATATTAGATAAACTAGATCTGTCTATTTAAAGCCTATCTTATATTAGAAAACCCACTTCCTCTTTAATATAACCGTAACTACTCTTAAAACTCATATTAAGGCTTAATTAGTATATTATATATTCCTACTTCTATATAAAGAGAACTTCTCCTATATGGAATCTATTTCCTAATTAAAATACCATTTTATTACCAGGAACCAATTATTTCTTTAAAAAGCTAATATAATTTGCTAATTCTTACTATTAATCTATTTCTTACTATTAAATATTATCTGAATAATTCCTATATCCTTAATACTAATTCGGAATATCTAATCTTTTTATATTCTATATTAATTTTAATATTAACTATTCCAAACTCAATAATAATATTATAAACCCTATTTATATTATCTTATAGTTCTCTTTTCTATATATTCTAATGCCTTTAGTATTACCTTTATTAATATAAATATTACTTTAAAGTCCCAAATAACTAAATAGTTTTATACTATTTAAAGTCGACTCTAATAAGTACTAAATAAATGCAATTAGCTTTCGAAAGAAATACAAATTAGTTCAGAAAAAACAATACCTTATTCTAAGTTATTCCTTAATTCTATTATTCTGACTTCTTTTCTATTAATACTTATTTTATATTTTCTCTAATATCTTTAGTATATTTATATATCTTATCTTTTATATATTTCCTATATTATTTCCCTTCTTTTATACTATTTTTTAAGTTAATAGAAATATCTCCAAATAAATAAAAAATCGGGATATACCTATATTATAAAATTTTTATTATTCTCTTTTATATTTCAATACTTCAGATACTACTATTATATTTATATTTCTATTATATTACCTTCTTATTTCCCTATTATTACTATTTAGTTTAACCTGCCTTAATTATTTCCTTAATTATATTCCCTTGGGTATATATATTTATATTCTTTTCTATAATAGAAGCCTAACTCCATATTTTACTTTCTATAATTATTTCTAATTCATAACTATATTACCTCAAATATATCTAATTATTATACCTACTTTCCCTATTATATATACTACTATTTCAGCTTTATTTTCTTATTAGAAAGAAAGAAAAACTCGAATATATATAATATATTTATATAATTCAAGACTATTCTAATTTATTCTTTATTTTGAAATATACTTAAAATAAATCCTTATAACCTTAAGAACCTTTAACTCTATAACCTATAACTATTATACTAATAATATCTTTATAATCCATTAAGAATAATAAAATAGCTAAAGAATAAATTCCTCAAGTTAGTAAAGTATAATAGCTAGTTCTTATAAGCCGCAATATTATTAAAAGCCTATAGATTAATAGTATTAAAATTTAGAGTATTAAAGAAGCTTAAGCAGTTATAGAAGGCCTACTAATACTAGAAAAGATAGCTATAATTACCGAATTTAATACAAATATTCTAGATAAGCTAAGCAGTATATATAATAAGCTCTTAAAATAGAAAACCTTTATTAGAGACGGGACTAGACTAGAATTAACTAAAGAGGAACTAAAGAACTATTAAGCTAATAATAGGGAATTCAAGAATATTATTAAAGGCATTTCTAAAAACAGATAAGAGAAGCTTAATAAGATTAAAACTATAGTAAACGGTCTTAATATTAAGAAATAGAATGGAATTATACTATATAGTAAAGCTTTTAGCTAATATATTAATAATATCTGTAATAATCTTAGTAAAAATATCTATAAGAAGTTGTACTTTCTTTTTAAGACAAAAGCTTTAGTATACGAAGCTATTTAGTTAATTAATAAAGCTACTTTAAAGCATATTAAAGATAAAAAGTATTAGAATACTAGTATATTTACTAAATTAGATATTACTAAAGTACTTAAATATACTAAAGCTATTTCGGAATATAGAGAATTAAAGTTTAAGCTACTATTAGCTAATAATCTTAAAGCTAGATAATATACCTTTAATACTTCCGGAATCCTAATTAAGGGAGTTTATAGTAATAAGCCTTTTCCTGCTTTCCGAAATGAGCCTAAAAAATGGGCCCCTATTATAATTTCAGTTTTAACTTAACCAGATCTAGCTAAGAAAAATAGAGCTAATTCGATAAAGCCTAGTAAGAAGACTACTAGTAAAGCTAGCAGAACTAGTATAACTAGATAAGAAGAACCTAGTAAGAATAGAGAGTAAGCTAAGCCTAAGACTCCTAATAAATAGTAGAGATCTAAATACTAGACTAAGTATAAAGTTAGTAAAATAGCGGAAAGTAAGGAGAAGCCCTTTATACTAAAGAGAAAAACACTATCTAAAAAGACTCCCTTAACTATACTTAGAACCAAGAAGCGGAAGACCAGGAATATTAAGTCCAGAGAACTTAATAAAGGCATTTAGTATATCTATAAGATATTAGCTAAATGGAAATTAATATTTACTTAGTAAGATAAGTATATCTTTAAAAAAGTATATAGTAATATTATGGGATTTATTTTTAAGCAAGAATACTATAGGATTAATAATGAATTCCTTAAAGCTTCCTATATAATATATATTTAGTAACTTACTAATATTCTTTCTATTAATATATAAGAGATTGAGGATGTTCTAAAGATAATTACTAAGATCTATAAAGTTACTAAAGGCAAGAAGTATATTTCTATTACTTAAGTAAATAAGGAAATACGAGATTTCTTTTTTAAAAACCAGGAAATCGAGAAGTATAAATATAAGTACTATATTTCCAATTAATTCTGCCCTAATTTATAGCTCTAATTTAATACTATAGTCCCTATTCCTGAGTCTAGTACTATTAATTTGGGTATAAATAGCCATATTTATAAGAAGAATTACCTAAAGTAGATTGAAAAGCTTAGTATTTAAGAGCTCTTAATAGAAAAGATAGAGATACTATAGTTCTATCTCTAAAAAAAATAATATATTAATATATAGAGATCTTAGTAATAGCTACTTTACCTTAGCCTCTTAACTTTTAATAACAGATCTATTAATATAGCTCGGATTTTATAAGATATTAAGCAAGTATCCTATCTACCTAGTTACTTACTCTTAGCTAGCCTAATACTTTGCTCCTAGAAATATTAATTATAATTAATATAAAGGCAATACTAAAGATCTGGCTATTACTAAAGCTTTAAGTAGCGAATTCTACCTTAGTAAAAAGTATTAGAATATTAGCTATATTTTCCTTATAAACTATAAGAAAGCTATTACCTTTGGTAAGAAGTTCTTTAAAGATATTAATTACTTCTCTATTTCTAATAAATTTAAGCCGGAAGTAGCTAAGGAAATAGGCAAGTATCTACTAAAAATAGTAGGAGAAAAGACTCCGAGTATAGTCTATTTAACTAGATAAATGAATACCTTTAGCTAGGTAATCTATAAGTCTGGAATTATAAGAAAGTATTAATTCTCGGATAATATATAAGTTAAAGAATAGCTTAATAACAATTTGCTACTTAATAGGCCTTTTATTATAGTTCCCATAAGTCTAGTTACTATTAAGGATGAAATATACGAAAATAAAGTCTCCTATAAGATTATTAAAGCCTCTTATCTAGAGCTTTCCCTTCCTATTAAAGGTTAATTCAAGGATACTATAGATAATATGAAATTCAAAGAAGCTATTTATTTAAAGTATATTAGTACGATTTATAATATAATTCGCTGTAATAAGCCTTCTTAATACCCTGTAGTAAAGGCAGAAATTAAGTAATAGTTAAAGGCGGATACTAATTAATATAGAGAACTATATCGGATTTGGTATAAGAATATAGCTAAGCGGGTTCGGATTACCTTTAAGCAAGTTCAGGAATACGAAATGAGACTATTTAAGGGTAATAAATCTTATTTTAGGTATATAGAGGAGAAATTAGATTAACTAATAGAGGAGGATCCTAAATATTTCGTTATTTCGGACTCTGAATAGGATTTTTCTATTATTTTTGGTACTTAGGGGACAAGTACGAATAAATGGGGGGTCGGATATAGTATAGCAGGCCGTACTTATCGAAAATCATATTATTTTGGCGGTTTTGAGGTTTAGGTTACATGGCAAAGGCTACGGCCTTTTATACGTAACTTGCGGAAATCACATAAGAAAGCTAGTTTTTCTATAGACTTAGAGAATAATCCTTTATGAGTATTTAATTAATTAAGCTTTTATATACTATATACTATTTATGCTTTACTATTTACGCTTTTGATTTGTTATTTTGCTATCAAGTCACGTTTTGCGCTCTGGTATACTTTATGTGGGTTTTTGTCTTGTCGCAGTTTCCCTCCCACACTAGACGGGTAATTTGAAGATCGGATTTCCCCGGAGGAATCTACTTCCTTCGTTTTCTCATCTCCTAGCTTAATTAATTACTCTCAGTAGCATGTCAAATAATATGCGACTATAATGTAGCTACTCTGCTTTCTTTCTGACGAGTGATGTATTTCGTGCTTACCTTAACAAAATACCGAGTTAGTATTTAATTACCTGCAGGTATAGAACTGACTTTTCTCTAGACTCTCGAAGGATATTTGTCCGCTCTCGCTCCTGTTCTGCTCGCTCATCTGCTTCTTAAAGTAGCTACTCTAGATACGCAAAATCTGATTCCCGCCTAGATTTAAAGCCCACTAACTACCCCTAACTCAAACCCTAAGGGATTTTGAACGCATTAAAGCCTGAATGCCTAACGCGCCAAGGTCGTATCGGTTAATGCCGGATTACTGGGCGAATCACATGCCACTTCAAATCCAAAGTCGCGCATTCCACAAATTTCTCCCCTCGAATAGCCTTATTAAATTTTTTGCAAGCAAAAGATTAGACACCCATCCAAGGTTATTTTAACGATGAGTCAGGTGTTCAACTCGATTAGCTCCGCCAATAGACTTCATCCCATCTATGCTGAGTAAGGCAACCGTCTCGCCACGTCTTTCTGTCGCATAGTAACTATAACGACCTGTAATATTGATCTATTTATTTCTCCTTTACGCCGCGTGCTTTTAATTTACATTATTTCCATCGCACTCGGTATTATCTAAACTTCCGCTACCTTTCGAATTTCCGTACAGGGACAATCTCATTCCATTGTCTCCTAACCGGCGCCGCCTAATCACGATTGAGGTAAATACCACAAAGAGCCTTTCCATATACCCGGCAGCCCATATAGCGATTTACGCAGTAACTTATATCGTATTAGCAAAAGGCACGATCCTCATACTCGTACTATTCCTCGGCTTTCTCCGAGCAAACCCTTAACGGCGCATTCTCGAGCACTGCGATCCAAGCGATTCCGTTTGCGATCTAATATCCACCTCCTTCTCGAGTCTCCCGCCCTAGCTCTCTTTGCCTTGGAGTGGCACACAGGCCGCTAGATTTTACCAGCATCTTTGGCATATCGGACATACGTAGGCACTCCGTCTGAGATCAACCACCGGCCACGGATGATGTCGACCTCAGCAATCTCCTTTGAGGATGCGAGAACGGCCCTCGCAGAAGATGGGTTCTATTGTATACAAGATCCGACGGTGGGGCTACGTATTTCAGAGATGGAGCGAAATAGTTCCCAGTTCTCTTCTTCGTCGAAAGCTGGACTGGAATTCTGCAAATCCAATGTCCTGAAGGATGAGGTTGGTCAAAGGTCGAAATCCTACCTCGAACACTGCTAATGTTGGCAGCGTATCCGGACCATCCTTGAGTCCTCCTTCGACTGGTGTGGTTTAGGATATTACCAGAGGATCGCCGAAGACCAAGGTCACATTTTCCAGCTCAGGAAGGGCGGCGAAAAACCTGATATTCTGTGTGTTCACCTATGGAGCAAGGGATCGCGAGTGATATATTACCGCGGTTCGCACCTAATCCCGTGGAAGAGTGTTCGTGCAGCAAATCGTATGTGGGAGATCCCATTTGCTGCCCTAGCACGAGCAGGAATCCTTGGAACGGAAATTTTCTTCGAGAATGGCGGATTATAAGTCATCGCTCTTTCTTCCGCACACCTCTTCTGATATATTTCAAGGGCTATCCTAGATACGCGACTTGCCTTCGAAATGAGACAAGGATCTCCAATCACATGTGGATTTGCTGTGAAAGACGAGTTAAGAAGTTGGCCGAAGCTGGTCTCGCCGGAGTCAGAGGACTCGGCTCAAATGATTGCGGAGTTAGAGACCGAAAAAATTGGTGTATACTTCGCAATTCGATGAGAGCTAAACAAGCGGAGGCGGAACTGGATAATGAATCCTAGAATACAGTACTCTATATATGTAGTCCTGAGCAGTCCTTGTATAAACCGAAAAACTGAGCGATAGTGGTCTTCATTGCCGCATACAGTAGCTCGTCTTCCTGTAGATTAGGACAATGAGATTATCTCGCCCACTTGCCGTCCATCGCCATGATTGTTACTTTCTTAAAAGAATACACCAAATTACAGCTATCCATGGCCATATAACAGCACGCGGGATCACCGTACAGTCTCAGTAAACGCCCACCCGCCGTCGTTCGCAGGCATCGCTGGCGCCGTCTCAGCAAATGCCCACCCGCCGTCGTTCGCAGGCATCGCTGACGCTGTCTCAGCAAATGCCCATCCGCTGTCATTCGTGGGCATCATTTAGGCTGCGAATTCCCACCCGCCGTCGTTCGCCGACATGCCTATGGTTGTCTCGGAAGAAAAGATCAATTCGGCATTGTTCGAGGGTCTCATTGTGGCTGCCTTAGCAAACGTCCCGTCGGTGGTGTTTGTTGGCGTAACCTTCATCGTCTCAGAAGGAGATGTTAACTTGTCGTCTGTTGCCATGGAACGAACGACAGACATATTGGATTGCAAAGATGTGTTTGCCGGAAGAACAGAAATTTGTGTCGTCTTGACCATCTTCTGCGCCCTGGTCGAGCTGCTATCCACAACTCCGTGGACCCGTTTTCTAGTATGACTCGGAGGGCTTTGTAACCGATCTAGCTCCTTGCTGACCATTCTGTTGAGTTGTGCAACCCGTTGCTGCATATATGTATCCTTCGACTTCTCGGAGCCGTTTTTGCAATCGTGCCTAACAAATCGATGAACTTGTCTGATAATCTCGAGACAGAAGGGACACATTTCGAAGCACTGAATGTCTGTTAGTAAAGTCAGCAACCTGCACTATGGCAAGATGAAAAACGTACGCTTTTGAAAGTGTCGGACAAGATTTCCTCGCGTCGTAAATGGCTCCACCCTTTTGCATCCGCGAAAGGGACACTGAAGTTGGTCTGGTCGAGCAGCAGGCTCATGGTCATCGTCCTCCCCTTCGCGATCGTCATCATCATCATTGTCACTGTTGATATGGTAGGATTGAGCGAGGTGTAGTCGACATCGTTCTAATTTAGCGACAAGTAGCCGTTCCTCAGACTGATCAATTAGCAAGGCATTAAAAGGTTGTAAGGTACTGACTCGGTATTCTTCGATATGGTGGACCAATTCCTGATTTGTTAGGAAGTGGACAAAGCAAGTCTGGCACTGAAGGTGCTGCATGTGCTCGTTCGACATTTTGGTAAGGAGGATCGCAATGCAATGGAGACGAGTCCGTCAGAATCGCTCTTGCTTCAAGCTTCAAGCATTTGTCAGCCTGCCAATGAGGATTGTTACCGAGGTCGACGTTTTCAATTGGCAGAAAGATACGGTAACCCCAATGTGGCAAAACGGCCCAGAGCGCTTTTAGCCGCTAGGCTGCGTGACGTGGTGTGCCCAGATAAAGTCTTCGACAACTCTTCCTTCCTTGCGACAGAATTTCTGTCCCACGCATCCGATGCTATTTCCTGGCGGTCGTCGCCGAGTCCACCTCTATCGACCTTTACAGTTAGGAACCTTCCTAGCATAAAAATGCCAGAGTGTGAAGAGTGCAAGGGGGAAGGCTATAAGGACGGCTACATTTGCACTGCTTGCAAAGGCAAAGGCACAGTTGAAGCTCTCGCGCAGAGTCCCCGTATTGTCCGGTCTTTCACCGAGGAAGTACAATGCGACATATATGATAGGGTAAGTAAATAATAGCGACACATAAGTATTTAGGATGTTTTTTTCCTTTCCCCCTTCATTTTAAACACGATAACTAACCAAAATGTTTGTAACAGGACGATCCTGCGCTGCCCTCCATCATGTCAACGATATCAATATCCACCAGTGTCCTACCTGTGACACCTTATCGTGCGGAGGTTGAACTAGACGTTGCGCTCTTCTTTACTTGACCAGGGATCAGTCGTTAGGTCTTTCACTTCGCCTTACAACCCTGTATATATATCAAGATGGATGGACTGTGTGGCATGATAGCATGATGATGTATGTGGAGGATTTCTCTGTCTTAAACAGCAAACCAAATACGTCCGTCACCACCTTTCACACAGTATTTCAGCGATGCTCCGTTGTCGTGACACGCGTTTTGAATTTTGACCCTTTATCGTCACAATAGACCTTAGCGATTTTCCGTGGCCCGAGAATCAGAAGCCTTAGTGGAAGAGCACCCAGAGAATGAAAGTTTCCACATATCTTGTGAACCTCCCTGTGCTTCTCGAACACAAGGAACTTCTACCTCTCGGAAGATGCATGGTATCTGGTCAAATTGCTAAGATCTTGAATACCTGCCTCAGGATACACGTCTACAAACTTTTATCGCATTGGTCGTACAGTAAAAAAAGCTGGCTTAGGCTGGAGAGTTGGCCTGGAGGTCAGATTCCCACTGACCGAGTCAGCCGAGGCAATCACATTTTTGGATCACCCCTGTCATGCAAGCGCCTGATTTGTTGGCGTGACTAATCACGCTTCTGAGAGTACCCCTGTCTTGGTACAATCACACATCTGTGATCACCCCTGTCCTTGAACGACCACGCGATCCTTTGACTTGCAGACTGACAGAACACATGTGGTGGGAATTACGAACATTCCCACATCTGGATCCCACGGAGGATGGCAATGGCTCAGAAGATCGTGAGAGAAGAGTTGACCTTATTGCCGATCTTCTTGTTTCCTAAACCGGCGCACTCTCTAAGAAATATGCGGTATTGCGCTTGGTGCTTTATCGGCTTTGAAGTATCTTATACGATCAAAGACACCTATCTATCTCTTGTGCCTCAATTGGAATTGCCAATGACCAGGATCCTGCATAACTACTCAATGTGGAAGACTGGGATCCTGCGTATATCACAATCCACTTCAATGTGTTGCTTGGCCCCGTGTTTCCTGCATCATGCATCAATAAACCACATCAATTAGCGAATATGCCAATGTATCTTGCTGCAATCATGGAAATCGGCCTTGGGGATGAGGATCCTGTCCCGAGCTTCGATGCTTTACAGCCTTGACTTAACCAATAAAGGTGTCAGGAACGGAAAGGATACATACAAATAAACTCTTCCTCTAACAGTATCCAAGTCTAAACGACGCAATCAATGCTCCACATCAATGTCTTGCTTCCCCCACACTGCTCCATGATTAGTCGACGAAGCTAGCTTGATCGTTCAAGGAGCCAACACAACATGCCGCAACCGTAGGCCGCCGGTTCATCTAGGGGACAACGGAATCAGCTTCTTTGATCAACTGTCCCGCGTTGGCCGCACAAGAATGGACCTCCGTTGCGGACAATGATACGAAAACCAATGAACATATAAGGGCAGAGATCCCCTCTGAAGTTTTGATCATCACATTCGGTGTTCCCCAACATTCTGCTCCTCAAGCATTTCCCGAGCTCTTTTACTCTTTATATCTTTCCATCACGTACACAGAGACGTCTAGGATTCATCTGAAAATAGCCTACCGCCTCTCACAGAACAAGACAATGGCGGGATACATTAAAAATGGTTCCCTGCCAGTCCAGACCATCTCGGACACTCAAGCCTCAATCCTGGACTTCTTATTCCCAGGCTTCACCCGCATGTCTGCCGCTGTCCAAGGGTATCTTACCATTAACTTAAACGTTTATATCCCTCTATTATGTTTTTTTGGATTAATAATATTTGATTACAAACATATTTACTAGTACTTATAGGGATTACTTAAGACTTATTGCAATGAAAACCCCTGCTATTTAAATAAAACCCCACCGTCTAATAATTAATAGCTTTAATTATTTATCTTCGATATCGCGAAAATACATATAATATATTCATATTATAAACATCTTCTCAGAGCTTTGCCAAAAACGCTTACTTCTCTCTCGTTACTACTAACTTAGTCTTTTTATTAAATCACTTAAAAAATAATTCTTTAAATAGCAAAGATATAAATAAAAAGACTTTATATTATACGCCCTAAAATAAACGCTTTTTCATACAGTATAAAGGCCGTCTGCTTATATTCCGGCGTTAATATAAAACTAAAGATTTTAATAGCCAAAAAAAGATCTCTATTTCCTGTTTTAGTAGATCTCCGCGAATTTTTAAGAAATTGCTCTCTAAGTGCCATACCGAATATATAAAGCTTATTTAGGGTAAAATCTGTCTTTATAAACACCAAGATAAAAAATAAATCAGATCTGTAATATCTAAAATAAAACGCACCTTGACCGTTATTCTTAATAAAGGTAGAAAAAAAAAACTATTATAAAATATTAAAGAGTTTCTTTACCCAGTATCCCGACAGTGGTATTCCGATTATAATATTCCCTACCGACGGGGTTACTTGTTATATGGACCTCCTGAAACTGGAAAATCATCTTTTTTTTATGCAATTACAGAGGTTTTTAGTTTAAATATCTATACTCTTTACCTTTCTGACATTAACGAAGCCAGCCTGAAGAGTCTATTCGCCAAGCTTCCAAATTAATATATTATTCTTCTGAAAGACATTGACGCCGTCAGTTCTAATCGAGATACTAAAACCGAGAGTTCCCGCCAGATCATGGCAGGCTCTTTTTCTTAATAAAGCAAACCTACCTCTAAAAAGATGTCCTTATCTGCTCTTTTAAACGCCATTGATAATATAGGGTTATAAAAGGGCCGGATCTTGATTATAACTACTAATTATATTATATGCCTTAATAAAGCATTTATATGACCTGGCCATATAAATAAGAAAGTCGAATTCGGGCTTATAAACAATCAAATAATAATTGATCTCTTTTGTCTTGTCTTCAAGCCCGTAAAAGGTGACGTTGCTTTTACAGAGGACGCTTAATCGGAAGAGAAGAGAAGAGTTTATAAAGTTATATTGGGTCAGAGGGAAGAGGCTGAGAGAGTTAAGCGATTAGTAAAAGAGTTTGCTGGCAAGGTGCCGGAACTGAAATTCAGCCCAGCTAAAATTTTCTCCTTTCTTTTAAAATATAGGAAATTATAGGAGAAAGTTATTAATAATATAAAGTAACTTATCTCGAAACTCATTTAAGCAAATTCGAAGCTATTAAAGATATTCAAAGATATTAAGCCTAAAGATATTCAGTCTGGAATAGCCCGGGATCCTAAGTTAGTACGCCTCTAACAAAACGTAAATCAAACCTTACTAATAATAAATTTAAGTAGAATGAGAAATCTTCAGTAATAAAAGTCTCAATAAAGATGGTTTAATAGCCCGCCTCATTAACCAGCCCGAATTTTTTAGTATTAAAATGTTTTATTATATTAAATAATACCCAAAACTTGGTCCAAGCCATTAAAAATATACAAATAACCTCTGTTTATACTATGAAATACATATATTCTTATATTCCTCCTTTAAAAAAGATTTTAACTTTCTGCTTATTAACTTTTCCGACGAACTAGCCATAACTACAAATTATAATTACTAAGTATATCTAATAGTTCTTTAATATTCTCAAGTTTTTTAATACTAAGCAAAAACCGTTACCTCCGCCTATTACTATAAACAAAAATAAATCCAAAAAACTACTAATTCAAACTTTAAAGTTTAAGTTTAAGATTATTAATAAAATATTCGTTTTTCGTAACATATAAATTTAAGCTTAATAAAGTTAATATTATTTATATAGTTAAAATATAAAAGTATATAAATATAAAATTATAAAATTAATTATACTACCTAATAAAAAGAATAAACTAAATTAATATATTTTTATAATTTGTATATAAATTAATAAATATCCTAACCTTAGTCCTAATCTCTATTTTAATAATAAAACAAATAAAACGACTAAAAAATAAATATATTATATTAATATTAAATCTAAAGGCTTATAAGACGTCCTCAAGTCAATTTTATAAAACATTAAAGACATTTGCTTATAAAAAATGAAACCTTTAGTATAATTACTTTGGACTTTTTAATAAAAAATAAAAAATAATTTAAATATTAACTATATTTAAGTTAAATAAAACCTACTTTTCTATTATTTTTTTGATTTTAAAACGTATTAAAGTAATATTATCCTTAATAACTTAATGCTCTAATATCTTAGTTTATTAGTCGATTTTATTAAAAAAAACTTATAAATCTACTATTAAACGCCTTTCTATACTTTTTAAAAAGCATAAAATTACGTATAACTTTTTGTGGGCCTTTTTTAAATTAAACACGATTTTTTATACTATTTATATTAATATAAACAAGCTAAAATATATTAAATATAATTTTAATAAAAAAAACAAATTAATAAAATAAAGTACTTTTATATAAATTATTATTATTTAAACTTTAATGGGAAAGTTTTTGGCGAGGTATTAATTATACTTAAAATTAAAAAATTCCGTGGGATAAAAAGAATTAACTTCCTTAAAATTTTTCTTTTTTTATATTATTAAAAACAAAATAAGAGTTTATCTGGATAAATGCGGTCGAAAGTTCCTCTTCCTCATAAGTATTTATTATTACCACTATTAAAAAATCGCCTTTTATATAAAAAAAAATCATCTGATTAAATTATTTATTAATAATCAGATTATAATTAATGTAATTTATTTCTAAAAGGCTAATCCGAACTATATTAGAGTAAATATAAATAAATCTAATAAAAAGAGCTCGTTACTTTTTGGCTAAACTATTTTAAGCTCGAATAAATCTGAAAAGTCACCCGATATAATTAAGAAAACTAATATAGAACCGTTAGATATAAAAGGGGAAAACCTCCTAATCTATAGCCCAACTCTACTAGGGTTCAGCCTCAGTAATAAACTATAAGATAAGCGCCCTATTTTTTTTGTTTAGTAATCCAAATTCCAGTATAACTAATATATTTAATATAATTAAATTTGTGATTAATAATATTAAAAATATTAAATAGCAGCCCAAAGCTCTTTCCCACCTTCAAATACCCTAAAAAAAAACCATCCATATTTTTCTCAAAACCCATATAAAACGAATATTAAGTGATTTCTTATCGTTTAATAACTTTATTATAAAGAAAGAGCTGGGGTTTAATATATTTTTATAATATAATAATTAATTTCTATTAAATTCTAAAAATGTTAATATATATATTAACGGGCTACTAAGTATAGACAAAACCTTAATAGCTAAAGTTCTATCTGAATATTTCCAAATATTACTTTATATAATATGTTTTTATATATTAATAATTTCATATTCTTATTAACTTTATAAGTCTCTGCTAACGAGCTAAATAAAACCGCTAAAAAACTTAAAAACCAACTTTCTCTAATCTTTAAGCGAACTTTAAAATAAAATACATTTCTTCTTTTAAATAAAACAAATATTTTTCTCAAGTAATACTTAATTAATAATATTAACTAAAATATTCTCGTTTATATTTTCTTACGAATCTTAAAATATTATTAGAAAATTATATTCTTTATAACTAACTACGTAAAACAAATTAATAATATTATTATAAACAAAATATACTTCAAAATCAAATATAATATTTTAGGCCTAAATTAAAAAAAAGACATATAAGAGTATTTTCTGAAAAAAAAACTATAATACCTTAAAGCCCGCTAATATATAATAAAAGTGACCTTAAATCTCTTATATAAAAACCGTTAAATAATTACTAGATAAACTTAACTTATTTTTTTCCCTTAAAAATAAAATATTTACCTTTATGTTACTTTTAAATTAAAAATCTCACTTTTATAGTCTATGCCTTAGCTCTTCAGGAAAAAACTCAAATAACTTTATCTTATCTGAAATTTATAATTAAAGCAGACAAGGACTTTAAACATAATATTAATAGTACAAAATCAATAAAAACTAAGTATAATTATTTATAACAAAATAAAAACATCTAAAAAAGTTTATTTTCAGCCATTCTCTAAAAGAAATAATATTTATAGTCTCAAGAAAGTCTGCTAGACTATAAATATGGATTATGCCTCGCTTCTCTATTTAGTAATATTCTTGGCCACAAAAAAACACACGTTAATAAGAAGGCAAGTACTATGCTATTCCCAATCAATATTCTGCTTTTAAAAGACTACAGCTCGTGTGGGTGCCATCTTGACCCGTATATGGCTTCCCGTATGTATTAAGTCTCTCATTCCATTATATATATGAGCCCTCTTCTCCCTGAATAATGCTTTTCGAACGAGCCCAATTTTTGCTCTGATTCTAACTGGCTTCTTAATCATGTAGTCTATCGGTTTCGGAGATAATTATCCAGATTTAATAAAATATTAGTATTTCAGACCGCTTACCCAGTTAAAATGGCGCTTTATTATCTTATTATAAATATTATCTAAGTCTCAGACTAAAAAATACTAATATATTATTAAAATATTATATAATACTTAAGGCTCATTATTAATATTATTACTCACTGGCTATATAAGTTAATTTTTGTCCCGAAAAATCCGACTTATTCTTATAAAGATATTATAATTATCCTTCTAATTATCTCTAATAATATTAAAAAGCTTTAAAAAATAATATAAAGCATATTGGCCTATAATCCAGTCCAGATATTATTTATTACTATAAAATATTAATATAAAACCCTTTAGAAATTTTCTAAATTAATAAATATAAATAATTTTAAAGTCTTCAAAGTTCCGGTTATTAATAAACGCCTCTAAATCTATAAAGCCGTCCCTTTTATTAAAACCCGTATTACGATTATAATTAATAATAATATTATATGGCCAAATATTATCTTTTTTTAGCTTTTAGTACTCTTTAAAGATAAAAAAATAAATATAATCAGAATATCTTAATATATAAGACATCTTAAAACGAGGACTATTATAAAATAATATTATAATTAACTAGGTATTATATATATTAAATAGTATAACTTTAAAATATTAATAACATATTATATTAATAAAAATACTTTATATATGTCTGAAAAAACATGTACTCTCTAAACTAAAATCTTATAAGATATCGATTTCTTATTAAAATTCGCGACAAAAATATAAAAAAAGCATCTTCTTAAAACTAATAATAATAACTTTATTATATGCTAACTAGTTATAAAGAGATAAAAAACTTAAGTTTAATATAGCTAAGATTATAAAATTAAAATAACTCTTGAAAATAATCCCAAATTTCGCTTTCAATATAATAAATAGGCCAAAAGTAATTAAAAAAGCAATTACACGAGTTTATTTATAAAAAGATACATCTGGCGGTAAGTCAAAATTTAATAAAAATAATTTAGCGACCTAACTATTATATAAATAGTAACCTTAGTCTACCTATATTTTATATCTCTTTATATTTATAAACTTTGTTTTTATCCGCAATCCTTTACTTTTTTAGTTATACTATAATAATACTTCACCTTTTAAAGATTATATAAAAATAACTTTATATATTGCTTTCTTAATCTGATAACTAACTGCTAAAAATATTAAATTACTGGGGCTTTATAAGCGCAATATTTAGAATATATGATTCATGCCAGTGTCTATTCTCTTTACTTACTTCTATAATTATATTAAAGCCCAGATACTTTTTTCTCTAAGCAAGGTATAATCTATCTTATTAATCAGAATACCTAGAATCTAATATATATTACAGACAAACTAAGGAAGTTGATAGGATTTAACAAGGATTATAATTATTAATGAAGGAACAGAAACAAAAGTGAATATTGGTCGGCATTTTTGTATTTATGCTTTTAATTAATTTTAATAAAAAATCAAAAGGATTCCTAAGAGGCGGAATATAGTTCAGCACTATAATAATATCTCATCTATGGATCTTCTATTATTGCGGATAAAGTGCAAATCCGGCTACAAGCACGTGATCGCCCCCTCGCTTAAACTTAGAAAGGGGGGTTGGTCATATGACTACAAGCTGCACTCTATGATCCACCTCTGGCTTCTCGTAAATAATTATTTTCCGAGGCAGAAGCAACTAAACCAAAAAGCGAGCGTATCTCAGCCCCTAAAAATTATTTCGCTTTGCACGGTTTTCAATGGGTGTCAGCTGCTCGGGATGCGATTATGCAACAAAATGGGTTTTAAATTTCCCACGTGATAATGCATTGCTTTAAACTGAAGTGTGGTAAGTAAAACATAGAGCAGCGGACCAATATGTGGCGACGCTTTCTAGAAAAGGTAGCTACGCCTTAGGGAGAACCAATTTACAGCCGCGACGCCTTCGATGATTGGGTACGGAAGGAGCGAAATGGTCGCGAGGTAGGTCCCCTCCTTCACGTGTTCGAGATGTAAACTGATCAACGGTATCGTTTCAGATCAAAAACCTGGAGTCTAGGCTCACGCTCTGGCCATTCAAGAGGGATGCCAGGTTGCCATGTCCCATCTTGAGGTGGCTATTGGCGCATGGGAGGATTTCGAATGCGATTTCAAAGACGCGGGGCCGAAGGAAGTTATGAACGGTTATTTGTAGCCGAGTCCGCTGGTTCCAAATCCATCCGACCTTCAAGAAGAGGCTCAAGCTAGATTTCAAGACGGTGGATGAAGTATATGTTTCCAGTGGAGTGTAAATTAAAACTATGCTGACGAATGAGAAACGTATAAATTCAGCGTCCGAAGTGTCAGAGAAAGGAATGCAGAATAGCCGCGCTCTCCTCTATGAAACATTTTCCTTCAACCAGATCCTGTTGCGTTCCAGCAAGCAAGAGTAATAAGCAACTGCAGCAGGCCAAGCCTCTCTGACCATAACCATCGCTCTCCGCGAAGACGCATCGACCTTTCGAGCTTTTGCTGCAACATAAAAATTCTTCAAGTCTTCTACATCTATGAATGTAGCTATCTCCCCGGACTTGGCTCGTGGCTCTGGGTTCTTGGCTGTAATATAAAGACACTCAATGTCTTCTCTGTTGGGTTCGGTGGGGTCGTAGTCCAGATCAATATCACAACCAGGGAACATATTAGTGAGCTTATTCTCGAGTTCTAGCAGGTATGACTTGAGCACAACCATCTCCCAAGATTCATCTGATAACTCTAGCACGCTAGGGACCTGGTTAAGGTTCTTGATTTTGTTGAGCTTCTCGGGTATCTCTTGGGGTGGGCGATATCCTAGATTTGATAGCCGTACAGTTGTGTATGACCCGCAATCAAATTCTCTGCACGGCTCAACAGAGGCGTCTTTCGTCAAGTGTTGGCGGCCTACATCGAGGCCAATTGCCTTTTCCAAGCTCGGAATACCACCCTCTGTGTCTACGTCAAGTGCCTTCTCCAAGTCCAGCACCCTACGAGCGCAAGAATACTGCCTCTGGGACTTGGTTGTTGAGGAATGAAACTGAAGGATGGTCTGAATGGTACAAAGACTCGATACGACGAGCTATATATAATGTTAGCCCAATCCCTCAAAGGACAGACCTTCTAACTAACCAAGGCGGATGAGACTGGAAAACCACCAATCTCGATTAGTACCTTCCAGCCTACGAGGAGGAAAGCACAGATGAGAATGAATTTCAAGAAGCAAAGAGAAGCATGAGCAAAGAGTGCCCATCGGTTTGACCGCTGAGTAGAGCGAGGTAAACGTATATATTTGATGGATAGGGTGCAGAGCTCCCCACAGGTCGAAAAAAGAAGAACTTCCAAAGCCAAGGACGGGTCAAGCCTTCGAAGAGCACTAGTAGCAGTGTTAGCACCGGAAAATTGGACTAGACTGGTCTAACCATACCTCAAAGAAAGCACAACTACTGAAAAAGCGTTCTATAAGTAATAATATTGAATCGATAATTCCGACTTTGTGTACTTCCAGGTGATAAGTGCATTTCTGTGAGATTGTCTCTCCATTCTGCATATCCAATACCGATCCAAGAATTTGTTATAAGGTTCTGGGACAGGGATATCTTTGTCAAGCACAGTGGCCAGAAGTTGACGCATTCCTTGGTGACCATCTTTGACGGTATTGGTGGCTTGTAGAAATGAAAATATCATGTGCTCCAAGATTGTTCGCTCATTCGTAAGAGGTTCGCCTTTTATAAGAGCGTCGAAGTCCGCTAGGTAATCGCCCTTGAAAGATTGTGTACCATCATCTAAAGAGTATGGAAGAAGTCGTTTGTAGCAAAGCAAGGCGGCAAGCGTCAATGCAGCTTGGTCTGTTGTCTGAGGGCCCTGAAGGTCTCTAGCCAATCGGCGATATAGCCTCCACCCATCATTTGAAGCTGCCCATTTAGTAAGAATACGAGGGAGCTGGCCCTGAACCATTGAGCTCCAGGTAAGGAAGACTAGTATATTATTCTCTGGCGTTTTGAGGGTGGGCTGCATATGGTAAACGTGTGCACTACTCTTTGTTAGCATTTTTCTTCACTAATCACTCGAGGGCGAATACATTTGTCCGCGGATTTCATCGACCTGCGCTTTGCCAAGTTCGCACAGCACGTCGGCCGGAAGACCCTGGGGAAAAGTTAGCATTGGATAGACCTGCTATTTAGATATCATACCAAATATCCTTGTGGGAAGCCGATGGGAAGGAGGGCTATCATTCGACTAGTTAAATGCGCAATGTCCAACGTGTAAATATCGTCGTCGGCGAAGATCTTGGACTCTGAAAGCGCGTTGAGCATTGCCTGCAAGCTAAAAGAACCAAATCGAGCTGATCCAGAAATGCTGAAGAGAGAACCATATAAGTTGGCATTGGTCTTGGCTGAGTTCTTGGGGTTAAGCTTGCGTTGTCGGACATCATCCCTCCCGCCAGAAAAGACGAGCAAGCATCGGAGAAGTGAAATGAAGTGGAGTTCTGCTGTCTGTTGAGGATACGCTGGGGCTGACTTAAGGAGATCCGTATGATCTCTCCGAAAAGCTTGGAGTAATTCATGCTCGTCCTTCCCAAGAAGTTCAAGGATAAGGGGAGTACTGTAGTCTGTGACTAAATTGAGGCTGATGAACTGAAGCCATTGGGCAAACCGCTTTCGGACCTGAGGATTAGAATCCTAATCAAGATGAGCATTACTGTAAGTAGCTAAAGAGGCGGTGGAGCTTACCAGCACATCGTGGTTTAGGATAACCCATTCAAGCGGTATCTTCAGCTTCGATGGTGCGATGCGGCGATAGTACAATACCAGCTCCTGGGTGCGCCTAGACCAGATTGCCTCGATGGCATTTTGAAGAAAGTGGGCTTGTGCTCTCGCTCTCGCTCTCGATATGCCGTACACCTGTGCTTCCGCGTCTGCTGGCTCCGTCCGGTCGAAATTAAGGTCGAGTTGGAACTCAAACTTGTGATCGAGAAGCCAGGGAATGTATGATTTGCAAACGGCCACTTCGTAGAACTGGCCGTTACAGCACTTCCTAACAATAAATACTCCGGGCACTGAACGTATTTGGACCTACTTGGAATTGTCTCGCTCGATGGCGTCTGTTGGCACGAAGCAAGACTTCCAAGGATCATTGATTATAGGTATGCGAATAAGCTCATCGATATCAAATCGGACATACTCAAAGGTCTGTGAAGTAACTGTGAGTCATGGGTTTGGAGAGAGCCGAGAGAGAGAGAGAGAGCCTCACCAACTGAATCTTACGTGTGACCAAAATTCCATCGTGGCTAGGGGCGGCGGCTTTGGGTCCTGGGGTCGGCAGCTGGGTGTGCAACGCTAGCATCTCGAATTCTGCAGCCTTAGCAGTAGAAGAATACAATATCTCAGCAAAACGGGGCAACGACTCCTCTCCCTTTGCAGAAAGAAGTCGTCTATATGCATGCGTACATAGAGCTAAAGAGAGTTACAAATGAGAGGTGTAATAGTTAGCCACATACATCTTTCCCCTAATTGTTTGATAAGGTGCGTCGTCGTTCAAAGAAGGCCCTGACCCCTATAGGGGTTTGTAGATTCGCCGCGTTTTTAGTTCAATGAGGCGCTGTACTCCACAAGGGGTTGCAGATTCGCCGCGTTTTTAGTCCGATGTGGCGCCTTTTCATTAAGGGTTTGTTTGCTTTTGTTCCATTGCTGCCATACACTCTCTGATATCGATTTCTCAAGGATCCGGTATGGGTCCGAGTAGCTGTTGGGACTTTAGGAGGGCAAACGCATGAAAATCTCTGCAACGCCCGGCTATAGTGTAAAGGTATTGTGTTGTAATATGGCGAACCATTTTGCAAACCATGGGCCTGTATTATAAAGTCTTCTCTAGAGCCAAAACTCGTTGATGGGTGGAGCTAGCTAGAAGCTTGTTGGAACATAACAGGTCTTGCAAAGGAATAATACCCCCAAAAGTACACCCCTACCTATTCATTGCATGGCTTTACCATTGGCCGCCAACCCTACAATCTTCAGTCACCGTGCGTCCGTATCTTTTATGCTGCTCTTATACTCTCCTCCTTGGCAACGACAACTTCCTCCTTCCGGTCCTATTATGTCTGAATTCGAGTGTTCTTCGTTTGGTGGGCCATCCAGCACGGAGGTATGGCCGGTGCACGACAATCACCGTACTTTTCGTCCAATCTAGGATATTTGTGAGTATTTGGTTGCAGCTTCGGGGGTCGAACTACCTGAATTCAATTGCGACAACTAAAGGAGGGCAACGCTTGTGAGTCGTCTTATAATTGGTACACCATGCCCGAACTGTATAACGGACATGCCTACATCGAAATTCGACTTGAGTATAGTCACACATTGTGAGGTGCGTTTGTGGAGTGGCGGGGAAAGAGGACTGGCAACTGATTTTGGGCGGGACGGATCTGAAGTGGTCTTATGTACCATCACAGACGATGCTGCTTTACTTCCGTACTTCTCCACACTGATCTTACTAGTCTACCACCGGCATATCCACGAGCTTCTTTTTCTACGTCGCTTACTTGAGCAGGTAACTTTTTGCATCTCAAGATGCCGTCTGATTTGCCCTTGTACAAGAATCAGACCGGACACTGGGTGCGACCACGCTGTAAACTACGCTCTGAGAGGATTGATGTTAAGCCAGCTCGGCACAGCGTCACTCCCTGTAAGCTATGAGATGCATACCTAGACTCGCCACCACTCGACAGTACCGACCTGAGGTTATTTAATGTTTATCTTTCTCTTTAAGGCCATCGAATTGTTCAGCCTCTACCATATAGCCTGCCATGGAGCCTTTTGCAATACCCGAGCAACCCCCAGCACTCCCTGTTGCGAAGACGTATATTTACAAGACAGTTGGGGAAATACTCATTCCTATTAATGTATATCTGCCTAAGGCTCTGGGTGTCGCTTGCCCGATCATGCTGTTCATCCACGGTGGTGGTTGGTTAGGTAGGAGTCGTTCTGACTACTGTCGCCCCCTCTTCCAACACTTCCTCTCCCTCGGGTTCATAGTCACCTCTATAGACTACCGGCTTCTCCCAGAGACCAGCCTGGCTGGCCAGCTTGAAGACGTTCGCGATATGGAGCCCTGGTTAAGGCATAGCCTTCCATCCATATTGACGGACCCCACTTTGAGCGTAGATAGAGATAACATTGTTGTGGTTGGTGCCTCAGCGGGTTCACTCCTGGCATTCCTAACTGTGAGTACTATCCTTACGCCGGAACAAATGGTGTTGACAAGAAGTAGCCCAAATTATAGAGAGAGCACCCGACTGCTATCCTCTCAATGTACGGACCAACGAATATGCACAATGTCCCATCTCTCAGAACAGGTCGGTTCTCGAAACTTCCACCACTACCGCCAACTCCAGAGCTTCTTGCCGCTGCAACCACATTCGAATCGCCCCCCACCGAAATTGCCCCTCCCAAGAACGCGGAGGACTATATAAGGCCTAGGGAACTCATGGGCAGGAAAGTCTTCACCAAAAGTCTTATAGCAGAATTCTTAATCAAGGGTCTGCTAAGAGACGAGAGTGGTGCACTGAAGTTACCAGAGAAGGGGTCCGTAAGCGAGGAACAGATTGATGCAATCAGTAAGGCAAAGGCTTGACAATCAACGAGACTAGTTTTGACTGGATGTATAGGTCCACTGCAGCTCTCGCAAAGCATCAATTACCCGCTAGTCTGTCAAGTAATGGCAGAGGATGACGATATCTTCGACAATTCACACGGATATAATCTCCACAAAGCACTTAAACAACGCGGGGTAGAGTGCAAGACGATTGTTGTATCTGGCAAGAAACACGCTTTTGATATCTAGGAAGTGATTGGAGGTAAAATAGACAAGACAGTTATTGGCCATGCTGTAAAATGGGTCACCTCTTGGTGCAAGCCATTGTTATAAGCCACAGATACTAGGTCACCTCTTGGTACAAACTAATGGCTAATGGTCATCCTAATAGAAGCCTTTCACCTCACAGCCCTCACTGATATTTTTAACAAATAGCAACGAACTCGCTGTAAACTCCACACTCTTTGGGTTTCCAGCCTCGTATAGGTCGCATGCCTTCCGACCAACCATGCCCTTTTCCACTATTAATTGTCAGTTCTGAAAGGACAAGTTTGCTTACATTACTTACTCAGCTTTAACACGTAAGTCTGAAGCATTTTAACAGAGTCAATAAATGTTTTGTCATTGTTTACCATATCCCTCGATCTCTGTTCGTCCCAATTCATGTCAAGTGGCTTTCGCCCAAACACATAATGATAATGCGATAAGAGGGAATTAGAAGAGGCAATTGCTTCCTCAATGAGCGCCTATAGCTTCGATGGATGTATCCAAAATCCGAGCTGAGGTCGTTAGCGTCTTGCGCTTTCCTTAGATTAAAAGAGCTTACCGGGTCTTTGTAACGTTTCCAAAATATGTTTCTTCCTGCATCAAGCTCTTGAATATGCAAGACTAGAAATAAAGCCAGGGTACCAACTACCCACGCGTGCTGTTTCTTGGTTTGTAGCAAATCGTCAGCATCCTTCAAAATCTCACTATCTAATTCTTTCATTCTCAACTCTAATCGGTGATTGACTTGGTTTGCCACCATGCGAGGTATGGGTATGCAACCGAACCACGCAGAGTCTGTGTCTTCGATTTTCGCCCTCCCTAGATAGTCATTATCAAGACCAGTTCTCTTTTTTCTTTTCCCAGAGAACTGGCACCCTTTCATTATAAGACGGAGAGCTGTGTACATCTCAAAACACCGCTGTATAATTGGTTCCTTTTACATTAGCTCGTGAGCCGATAAATCTAAGAGAAAGCTTACCTGATTATGAGAACATGCTAGCCGGAAGAAGGTTGAAACAATGTCTTGACGTTTGCATGCTTCATATATAGCATATCTGATGCATTTCTTGACGTATTGCGATATGTCGATCCGGGGGTTTATCAGGCAAAAAGCTGTAGTCTTCGCTACATGCAAGCTAGATGAATTTTTCTGAACGGCCTCAGTCTGGTAATGTTCAGTTGGACGAAATTCACAGCATTCTACGAGCAGAGGAGGTCTATCGGGGTAGTGTTCCAACTCCGCGGTTCTTCGAGAATTCGAATCGCTCGACCGTACAAGCGTAAACTGGGTTTCGTAAATTTCATTCTACCCTTGTTGGAATTATTAGTCTCAGCTACGGCAACAGCGTCAGGGTAAAAGAACATTTTTCGAAGACCTTATAATCTGTAACGCGCAATCGAATGCAAACCTGCTGTAGAATATGTTGTCTAACACATCGCACACAACGAGGTTCCCCAGTGCTCGAAGAAGTCTTCTGACACTAAAGCGAAGTTAGTGTATCAGTTCCCTTATTGCAAAGTAAGAGAAAATACCTTTATCTTTCGAAGTCGGCATCCTATACAGGGGTTTTGTCGACGATTGAGTGCCAGACTTTGGTTCACGAGAGCCATGCCGGCACTAGGTGACCCAAGCTGGTGCTCAATATTTGGTTAAAGTAGCTAGAGAAGAGGGTATTGTTCGAAGTTCTGGGCCAGATCTTGGTGTTCTGTCAAGGCCAGGCTCAAAGGAATAATGATAGAAGAATGTCCGACACATTCGGCCAAAGTATTGTTCTCCCAGGCTTCATGGCAGCTCGACTAAGAGCGCGGCGAGGTTTGGTGGACGTTGCCGAGATCTGCGAGAGTAGCTTGTAGATTGTTGGCCGGATATAAAATTTGTGAGTAGGCTGTGGCATCATTAAACTCTGCGAACAATGTATGACTCGGGAGATTCCCAGGACGGGTCGAATCAAACGACGGCGAGGGTTGGAAAGTGTTGTCGGGATCTGTAAGAATGGTCTGTGGATCATTAGCTGGGTATGAGCATTGTGAGTTGGCTGCTACACTGGCAGACTGCTCCAATATATAGTTAGGGAAATTCCCAAGATAATTCGAATAAGCTGACGAGGGCTGGACAGTGTTGTCGAAGCCTGTAAGAGTGGTCTGTAGATTACTGGCTGGGTATGAGCATTGTGAGTTGGCTGCTACACTAGCAGACTGCTCCAATGTATAGTTAGGGAAATTCCCAAGATAATTCGAATAAGCTAACGAGGGCTGGACAGTGTTGTCGAAACCTATAAGAGTGGTCTGTGGATCACTGGCTGGGTATGAGCATTGTGAGTAGGCTGCGGTATGGGCAGATTGTTCTGATAATGTATAGTTCAAGAAATCCTCGAGATGACTTGGTCGAGGCCGTGCCGGCGCGAGCCCACTGGTTTGTTGAACGACGTCGACAAACCCGAGGAAAGCGTTGCCGTGATCTGTGATAGAGGAGTGTTGGTTGTTGACCGGATATGAGCCTTGTGAGAAGGCTGCGGCATTGGCAGACTGTTCTGATAACGTGTGACCCAGAGAATCCTCGAGATAGCTCGGTTGACGCGGCGGCGATAACGTCGTGAGCTTGTTGATTCGGAGACCGTCTTTAAGAAATGTGAGGAAGGTTTCTTGGTCGTTGGATGTGTGCCGACAGTCCGCAGACGCCGCGGCGTTGAGAGATTGTTGCAGCTGTAGATTGTTTGAGAAGTGCCCAATGCAGTTCGATTGGGGTGGCGTAAAGAGGCCGTTGGTTTGAAGAGCGTTATCGATCGACGCATGAGAGCCTACTTGATCGTTGACAAAATCAGACTGACCGAGAATGTCCGTATTGATTTGGCTAGATATCTTGTTGCTCCAAGGAAGATGACTCGAGTCATCCTGCGATCCATGACTTGGCTGGTCGAATAGGATGGGTGGTGAGCCTCGCTGAGAGTCTGCCTGATCCATTTGCTGGACTGCGGAAACCTTATCATCACGATGTATGATTTGGTCCGGCGCTATTTAGGTACAGGGAACACGCATCACGTGTTAAATGTGTTGCTGTATTCAACAGCGGTGTCTATCGGCAGAAAGACCTCGCACGTGTCCTAGCGCGGAGTCTTACTCTCACCTCGAGTTCAAGCGAGTTCATCACGTCGCTCGCGATCTCCAACCCGATATTACAAGCGTACACACTACTAGATAGGCTTAAGCATAAGGACATCGACTGGCTTGTCCACGGTGCAGAGACTCGTGTGTATGTGCCCTAACCAGACAGGCAATGGAGTCTGGGCTAGGAACACTATAATTGAGAATTTTGGATTTCGGAGTTTAGATATAAACGAGAATATGCTGAGGAGATCTGCACTGCGAAAGCGTCTGTCTGATTTGGTTCATCGCTATTGACGCTTTCTATACATAACAGTGGACAATGAAATACCCAACTCTATTTCTCTGTTTCCGCTTGCTGAATGAAGTCTTCTACTGCTTTCTTAGCTAAGGCATAAACTTCTTCCACAGACCCATCACCGCAAATCTAATTAACACAATCAGTAATCATCTTTTGCTAGGCTTTACTTCCTCCTTACCTCTTTAAAGTACCCCTCTACTGCTTTCAAATGATTCACAACATCCGAATCATCACTACCTCCACCTAGGGAATGTCTCGGCGTTTCCGCTGATAAGCAGCTCAGAAATAGTACGTAATTTGATTTTTGCACCTATTGATATAAGCAAGACTCTTCTCATGCGGAAACACTTACTGACCTTCTTTTTGAACTCAAGAATTTGTTCCATACTTTCTGGAAACCCCTCCACAAGGCTCCAGCTCTTCCCTTCTTTTCTCCCTTCATTGATTTTCAACTCAAGCAAACTAATCGCCAATTGAGTCGGAACATTTACATCTTCCTCGAGGCAATCTCTCACGAATTTAGCATGGAGGTACGTTTGATCGGCAGCCTTTTCACGTAACACGTCACGTAAGGATATGTGCTGAAAATCAAATCCCTTGCATAAAAGGTCGCATTGAGTCTTCGTGTCAACACCAAATGTACCTGTAAGATAGTTAGTTAGTACCAGGCTAACCAAGACGAGCAAGATATACCTTTGACGAAGATAACAGGAGTTCGCTGGCTTCGCTTTTGGAAGTAAGCCTGTCTCTCTTGCTGCAACAGCTCTAACATGTCCTTTCCTTCCTAAGAATGGATATATTTTGTCTGTCCTTGAAATTCCTCCGAGTTCTGCTCTCCGTATATACTTTGCTCGTACTCATATACCTATATCATACACTCAAATTTATCCATCTCTCGTACCCATCTGCCTTCTGGTGTCGCTTTAGGAGTGTTGCCATTTTCGTACTCTTCCCATACAGCCCGGATATTTGCACCAAGCTTTGGGTCAACCAGTTGTAACAAGCTCTCGATATATCGGATGCCAAAGTCTTCGAGTTTATACTTCTCAGCTACTATTTGTTAGTCTTTGCGCGGTAGTTGTGCTATCTAGAGGCAACAATGCTCACCTTTAGAAACAGGAGCATACGTTAGGATGTCTCCAGCAAACGACTCTACAATGTCGTAACAAAATGCTATCCACCTACACCTTTCCTTATCGACGCCTGTCTACCTCTAGGTTAACAAACATAATTTCGAGTAAATGACAGGACTTACTGGCGCGAACATCACCAGAAATTCCAGCCGATACATATAAGCGGCTACACTCTCAGGCCGGTCAAGCCATCTCTTCCACCCAGTCCGATCCAAGTGCTTAAGGACCTCTAGAAGATAGAGGAAGGGCAGTGGTAATGCGTCTAGTTTCGAGTAAACTACCGGCATAATGTCAGAACGGCGGGAATCGTCGTCGGCTGGGTATTGGATGTCCGTTTTAGATACACAACTGAGACTGATCGAACTATGTATGGTTAGAGAAATTCCCGAGACAATGGAAGGTAGCGTTGGTTCAGGAAGGTTCGATAATTGCGGAGAGGATTGTTGAGAACGTGTACCTTTCAATTTCGTTCGGTGGCGCTATCGGCTCTCTGAGGGGTTTTCGTTTTAGCCTTGTAGCCTTAACTTGTAAGGCATTAACTTAACCTCTCCTTCTCGCAGGATTGAGGGAATAACATCTGTCTTCGATATATTGTAAGACTGGAGATTATATGCTACTTTTTTGTTGCGTATCGCACAACGTGCAGGGTCCTCAAATTCAATAAATTAAGTCTAAAACTAAAATACACTACAGTAACGCAATAAATGCAACAAATAACAGACTTAAAACAAATGCAGAAGGAAAGGCAAATTCAATGAAAAGAGGATAGCAAGCAAGTCCTTGGGGCCATATATCAAGTGAGGAAAGCCCTGAAACCTAAAAAGAAATCTGATTAGAAGAAAGAAGCAACGGCTACAGGCTGAGCGCGTCTTGAATAGTTTTGAACGCAGCCATTAACTTTGTTAGCTCTGCAGGATCTGTACCTAGCTTTATATTATGCTTCTTTTTATACTAAGTAGTAAAAGAAAGAAAGCTGGTCGGATCAAATCCACCTTACGCTTTTATTATAGTTGTATACTGCCCTTCGACATTGATTATCGGTTGAGCTTTGGCCTTTATTACTCGCGAGACTAATATTCCAATAAATGGGAAGGTCCTGTCTTTAGTCGCAGGTATATCGGCCTTTTTCCTATAGACATAAGCACGCTTATTCTCTACTCGATCTCGGCTTTCTGGTTTTTCCTTAATACTATAGGCTATATAAAACTGGACCCTCTTATTTTTTTTTCATTCTATATATTTCCGAAGTAAGTTATCTGCGGCTCTTTTACTTTCTACCTAATCTTAAAGGTTTATATACTATATCTAGATAGGATTTCCTTCTTTCTGTTTATATAAAGCATAAATTACAGGTTCTTTCAAGGGCTCCGGTCCACAGGATTCGGCTATAGTATAAAGGATCTTAATAAATTCATCTTTCTTAGTCTTTCTACTAACTTCCATTATATAAAGGCAATTTAGATATATATTAACTATATTTTTAGTAAAATCTTTATAAAGAAGAACTTTAATATAAGGGCAGGCTTATAATCTAATTGCGATAAAAAGTTACCCGTTATATATTTGGCCTTTTTTATTACCCTTTTTGAAATACTTAAACTTATATTCTATAATTATCTTTTTATCTTTAGTAAAACCCGGTTTTCCTGTATTTAGTTTGTTTAATTTATAAAGGTCTATACTAATATTGGTTTTATCTATACCGTTATTTATAATACTACTTATTATAATATTGGCAGGAGTAGTACCTATAGAAGCAGTACCTATAGGAGCAGTACCTATAGGAGTAGTACCTGTAAGAGTATTACTAGTAGTACCCGTAGGTCCAGTGCCATTTCCTCCAGATAGTAAGGGCTTTGGCACTTCAAAAAACGGTTTTAATATTCAAGTATTAGGATAAAAGCTTGCCTTAACTAACTTAGCAAATTCTTGTACTTTATTAAAAAACTATTCTTTCGCTTTTATATTAGTAGGATCTTTTTCAAACTTTATAGCCTGAAAATGGGCCTTGACTATAATATCCTTAATTTTTTTTATATTAATTAAATTAATTATATCCTTTTTATTAGGATGGCTCTATTACTAACTTACTATAATATTATTTATATCTAAAATTTCTATATAAAGCTTATAGTCGTTATTACTGCTTAAAATCTTTTTTATAATAAATATAATATATATATAAACTTCTTGGATAAAGGCTATAACCTCTTTATCTTTTATATTCTTATTAGCTTTTTTATCTTTAATTAGTTTTAACTCGTAATTTGTTGTTTTTATCTAGCCTTTAGTAATTCCCGATATCTTAACTATAACTTAAAATTCTGGTACTCTCAATTAATAAATAGCAAGTTATAAGGATTTCGACTTACTTTACCAAGTCTTTTTATCCGAAGAAATCTATAAGGCCTTTATTATATAAATCTGTTTAATTTCTTTAAGCTAATTAACCCCAAAAATATTCTTTATATTAATAATCTATTTAATCTCCTCTAAAGATATAGCTTTTTCATATTATACTTCTTTAAATAATATTAAAATATAATTAGAATTTATTTAATCAGGGATTAATTTAAGTTATTAATTTATTTCATCTATCCACTTTTTATTAATACCCGTTGCCATATATACTATTATTAATACTAATATATAAATTAAACAAAAAAGTTTATATTATTTAAGGAGATTTATTTACTTAATTAATCGCCTTTATTATTTGCAGTAATTAAAGCCTTTGCCAGGTAGATCTTCTTAATCTCCTCTGCCTAATTAAAATAATAATTAACTTTAATATTAAGAACTTTCTTAAGCTTTAAAATTTTTATATTTTATTATAATTAATCGGTAGTAATCCACTTTATATCTAGGCCAGGGATTAACTTTGAGGTCGCAAGGCCATTAAATTAAATGGTCCCTTTACCTTTGCCTATTTAAACCGCCGCGGTAGCATTAGTCCTGTTAAATGCAATGTCTGCTATAGTTACATTTTAAAACAAGTTTCTTGGTAGTAAGGTAAGATAATAATACTTAAAAGTCAATAATACTTAAAAGTCAATAATACTTAAAAGTCAATAATACTTAAAAGTCAATAATACTTAAAAATAATACTTAAAAGTCAATAATACTTAAAAGTCAATAATATTCAGAAATTAATGATATTTAGAAGTCAATTTTGCTTTGCTAATTCTCTTATCTAAAAAAATTGCTCTAAAAGTTTTATATCTCTATCCCAACTCTCCTACCTTAGATTTGAGCACTTTTTAATTACTATTTTAGACGCAAATCAGCGTATGTTAGGGAGTATAGCTATTTCTGGAAAATCTACTTTTAAAAGTAGCTTAACATACTAGAGATAGTAATATAGTAGCTCAAGAACTTAATAGCCGTTAACCTAGGTTACAAGGAACCAGTCAGCTATAGCTCAAAGATGACTGCTATAATACTATTTGGAAGGGTCAAGGGCTAACATGTATTAGATGCTTGAAAGCTGTCAGCTTAATCTTAGCAGCTCTAATCAAAGATATTGGATGCTTAATACCAACTTTAGCTATACTTGGTCATTAAGCAATAAACAGCAGAGCGAGAGGATAACGCTCTTGCTTAACTGTTACAGGACTTGCAACACTTCCCTATAGCGTCAAAGGGAATATTACCATTTTGTGTTCATTGCAAGTCTTCGAGTCCAAGGGGCTGTTTTCACTAGGTCAAGTACAATAACAAGTTATCAAAGGGTCATGACATTAGGCAGGCTACTGGCTATGTATATTAAGGCAAAAAATCTCCAACACCAATTGCCTTTATCAAAAAAATAATATGCAATATTAAAGTAGCTAAATTCCAGTCTCTATAACGTTCCTGTAATTGTCTTCATTTGTTCCCATCGCTCTTCTTTTCTATATTACTAATATCAAATTCTAACTCCGCCGAATTGACGCTCCAAGTCCGTTGCAGGTCTGACACCGCCAATAGCTTAATAATTATAACTACTAACCGGAGAACTATATTATAGGCATTGAGAGGTTTCCATTAGCATACCATATTCTCTAATCATAAATAGATGGCCATTCTTATAGTAATACTAATGCCCAGTACCTCTAAAGTCATATACTATAGCTATATATATAGCTGCTTTTTTCTTATTACTTACTAGTATATAGAATATCGAATCTCGTAATATCTTCTCAACTTCCTTAACTTCGTTTCCTATACCTGCAGTTTGGCCGGAATATTTATTATATATATAGTATATAAGTTAAAGATATTCTCCGGCCTTATTCAAGAGCTATATAAGCTTTAATCCAGGCTTTACAAGGCTCTGCTTGAGGGCGAGAAACCGTACCCAGTATAGGAGGCCCTTAATATAGTGTCCTGATTAGGTTCTTGACTTAGATTCTACTATTAAGTTTTCGTATTTCTTTCTATTAATACTTAAATTAACCTGGATTCTGGAAGAACTTATACTAGTCTTGCCTTTCTAATTATTAAGGAAAGTCAGGAGAATAGTATAATCGTATCTTATAAGTAGTATTATAGCTAGAAGCCGGTTATATACCTAAAGAATATTAACTTTGGAGTATAAATTAATATTAATTCTATAATATCTGCAGGTATCTTAAACGAGGTTATAGATATAGCTAAAGGGTTATTCTTTCTTATTAACCTGTTATAAAAACTTATTAATTTGTCTTTAAAGCCTAATAATTCTTTTATATTAGTTATCTTTTCATATAAGTATTCTGATCTGGGAGATTTGGTAGTTATGGCTCCCCTTTAACTAAAGAGGTCCTAATAGAGGAGTTTCTAGTAATATCTTATTAGAAGCCGTAATCTTATAGAGCTTTGCCTTAATTACTTGCATCTTAGTAACTAGAGAAATGAATTTCATATTAGCCTAGATAATAAATTTCTTTATTACCTTATTAATTAATACTTAATAAATAATACGGCTATAGTAGTTGAGGTTTTATAAAGAACCGCAGTAAGTTAGGTAGCTTTTTATCCCGGAGGCAAAGAAGGGTTCGGTACTATTCTTTAGGTCTATAATTAAGCCTTTACTATTTATAGTATAGAAATCTAATATACTTATATATCTATCTATATTCTCTAGGGTAAGAATATATCTATAGGATAGTATAATATAAGAATTCTTATTAAGATTAATTTCCTTAAAAGTAAATAATAGAATAAAGTCTATAACTATTTCCTTAATTATTAGATATATATAAATTTAATAAAATATAATACCTGGATAGACCTCCCTATAAATAAACGGATATTAATACCTATAAACTAATATTTTTATATAGTACTCTAAGTATAGTAGTAGATTACAGGATACTATATAGGATAACGAGTACTATTTGTAATATAGATAAGACTAAGTACAATCCTCTATATATAGTATATAAGGCTTATAATATAACTTGTTATATTTCGAATAATTATAGCTAACTTTACAGGATTCTATATAAAAAGGATAGGACATATTGCCATAATATAGAGCTTTATAGCTATAACTACAGGTTATATATAGTCTTCTATACTAAGTATTATAAACTCTATATATCTTCTTAATAATTATATTCTTAATTCTAGTATTATAATTTTTGTAATTATATATATAGTTATATTTATAAGTTAGTACTGCCCTATAAGTTACTAAATAGAAATAATTAATATCTAAAGGCAGTTTATAATAATAGACTTGAATTTTATATTTATAATATTCTATAACCTATTCTATCTAAATCTAATAGCAAACCTCTTCTAGGATCTGTACCTTATAATATCTTAGCTACTTAGTAATATATCTATATAGTAAAGAGATATTAAATAATATAACTTGGTATTTTGGCTTATATAAATCTCTATAAGATCTCGGATATTTATACTTATAACCTTTCTTTATTCTTAGATAGTATTTAAGGTAATAAACTATATTATATAAAGATATAGAATAATATATATTAGGATAAGAATAACTATAGAGAAGTCTTAATAAGTATTTCTTAGTATATTTGCCTTTAGGAGCAAGCCAAGCGAAATTGTCTAGTACTAAGACTTTAATAGGTATTTCTCTATATTAAAAACAATATAAGGCAAGGTTTGGACTAATTTTGTTTAAGTATTCTAAAATAGAAAATACTTTAGCCTATATAAAAACAGGTTTCGAGATATTAGAGTTACTAATAATATATATCCTATATTATATATAACTTAGTAGTATATTAATATAATTAGAAGTCTTTAAGAATCTATATTTCCGCTTATTATTACTCTAAACTACGGAAATAATAATAACTTTGGCCTCTTTACCCTAGAAGTTATTTATAGTAGTAATTCTTAAAGCATTATATAGTATTATTTTCTAGACTTGGACTTGGCTATTTATAGAAGTCTCCGGGTTATCTTAAAATCCCTAAGCTTCTAACTTTTCTTAATTCCGATCCCTAATAATAATCTCAAAGGAATTCGCTAGCTACTTCTTAATTTTCTATAATTATCCTAAATATAGAGTAATAACTATAATATCTTTACTTTTATATATTCCTTGTTTTATAAGATATAATATAAGAGTAGTAATTATATTTACTTTAAATATATTAGTTCTAGATAAGGAAATAGCTTGGACAGGTTATAGGTTCTTCTTTTCTTAGTAATCAAGCCAATATAAGTAATCTCGTATCCTATTAACTTCTGGATATTCTAATACTAAGGGGTAATCTTATAAATCCGGATAGAATAGGACTCTAACTAGCTCTAAGATAGAAGGGTATATTTATTACTAAGTTTTTAATATACTTAATAGGACCTAGAGATTCCTTACCGGCGGCCTAACGAGACACTTAAATAGTAAGATATTAAAGAAATATTTCTTGCCTTAGGAATTATTATATTAAAGCTTATAGTTATTTATTTAAGGATAGAGCTATTTATAATTACTAATCAAGATTATATATTTAATTCCTAGTAAGAATATAATAAGAGTATATGCCTCGAGAACCTTTCCGGCTTCTTTATAAAGTATAACTTTTACTCGAATATACTAGAGTAACTTAATATTTCTTGCTAGGCCAGATATTATTATACTAATAATATAAGCTTCTTGAAGATATTAAAAGTTCAGTTTACTATAATATTTATCTAGTACGGATTTGGAACCATAATAGAAATCTAGTATATAAATGAGATTATTAGTAAGTTATATACTTCTTTGCTCTATCTAGTACTTATAAAGAATACTACGTTCTAATACTAATATCTCTTTTAGAGAAATGGCCAAGAGCTAAGTAATAGAATAACTCGAAGTAAGTTTCTTCGGCGCTCCTCTAAGCCAACTTTCTATAACTCTAAACTTTCTTTCCTTTACTTCCTAAAACCCCTTATTATCTATTCCCTTTCTGAACAATTCCTTAAAGTACGGATTATAGGTCCTTATAAGATGGGCTTGGATATTTATTCAGGAGTTTGGATTATTTAACCTAGATAATATATTTTCAATTTCTTATAGTATTTCCCTAATATCCCAATTATGTTCCTATTTATTATGTTTTTCCGTCTTCGTGGGTACGACTTCTTCCCTTATATAATAGAGAGTGAGATTTTGAAGCAAATCGGATTTGGATCGTAAGCCTAGACGGATGACTTGCCTTACGCCATCCTTTACTAAATGCTCCAATAACTGATCGAGAGCATGATTCGTAATGTATGAATTGATATATACCTAACACAATTCCTAGATTCTATTAGTATCAAAGAGATCCCTACTCTCAAACCAATGCTAAATGGAAATGCCGCATCGGCCGTTTACTAAAACCCAGATGCCACCATTTTCTTTACTTTAAGGTCATCGCGAGCCTTCTCCAATGCCTTCTTCCACTTCATGATATCTTTTCTGGCGTCTTTAGACATGAAATACCACTCCATTGAATCGTAGCCCTTCTCATCCTTACGCAGGTATGATAAAGCTGTCACATGCTCCTTTTTGAATATTCCAGGCTCTCTCTTAAGCTCTCTTATTCTGTCGACCTCGATCTCGAACATAATTCTGTACGAAAAACCTGAGAAGGCGTTTATGACAGATGGTGACATATCATTCGGTTGATGCAGGTCAGGTCGATCATGATTAGACATCAGGCGTAGCCCCAAGAGTCTCTCTGAAAAGAGGAAAAAATCCAACTCGGTCAAAATTCCAGGGCGCTTGAGGTTGGTGTTGATCCTACCCACCAGGATCAAATCACCAAGACTAGAAGGCTCGATGGATGTCAAGTGTTCGGTCTTTCTTAGAAATCCCTTCTTCGGCGCTTCCATAGCACTTTCATTGGCTGAAAACATCTCTGGAAGACGAGCCACAGAGGATCCAGGATAAAGATCCTGATCAATGCTGTAGGCTTTGCCATCTGGCAAAAGTTCCTCGTGTTGCAGAGGCCACGCAGAATACCAGATTTCATTGGCTTTCTGATCTGGCGCTGAGATCTCGTGTCCAGAGTCTCGATTGACCGTGTTCATGTCCCCTGATTCAGAGGGCTCTGAAGCTGATGAGCCAATCAATGACTCCGTCTCTGCCATGTAGCTGCGGAGTGGAAGACTGTACGAAGCAATGCTCAACCTCCCAGAAGCATTGCTTGATCGTGCGAAAGTACCTGAAGCCTCTTGCAAGTCTCCTTGCATCTCCTGTTGCTCTTGTTGATTTGCACACAGTCTAAGAATCGCAATATCCTTACGGATCTGCTCGATGGCGATTTTTGTTTGACTATTCGTCACACTATATGCATTCTATAGTTAGCTTCGATCATGATTAGAGTTACGAGGTGGGGGAGACTTACAAATTTAGCGATGAGATTGCAATATTAATGGTGATTTTGCAAGTTGCTAGCGCCTCCTGTAATAACTTGACGTCGCTCTTGCTGAAAAGCTCCCACTTAAGTCCGTTCCTGAATCCGCCTCGACTCTTGCCGTCAGGTGCAATGAAGGGACCAACCACGCGTTTGGCATCTTTACAGAGCTCGATGCAAGTCCCGAGAAGGACCTCAAGGTCCGATATCATCTGTGACGGTAGCCTGATATCGCCTGTGTCTTGATAGGTGAGTGCGGTTGTAAGTAAACCTAGCACTTGATATAGCCCGTCGATACTCAATGTAAGATCCTGGATATCTTTTGAGGCATTGCGGATGCCCTTAGAGAGGTCGTAGACTTGTTGACATACTTTGAAAGCATTGGCGGCGATGCTTAAGGTTGTCCCAGTTATAGCTAGAGCTATTGGTGCAGCCATTGTTCAAGAAGTTTGTAAGTTACCTAGGGGTAGTACAATTCTTGGACTGTGGATATCTGAAAAATTATGGATCACTGGCTGGTATTTGAACGCCTTGCCGTATGACTGACAACGCTTTGAAACATTGGGTGACGTAATTTCTGCACTCGCCCTCACTCAAAATGACACGAACACAGGAAATGATTAGAGTCGGCTCTATCTGTGAGCCCAGCCACAGCCGCTAAAAATAGACTTAATTATTCATCGGCGCCTGCCGACCAAGGCACCGGTATTGCATAAAGAGGATAACTGTGTTTCATAATATTATGTGCAATTCGTGGTGGTCATCCAAAAAGGGAGAAGAGAAGGGGGGTTGTCAATTTGATCTTAGATAACACAATAATATAACATTGGCGACTTGGTTTTTCTCAGAGGCTCTGGCCGGTTTTTGTGATCATAATGAAAAGAGATGAACTAGCATTGATATTCAGTTTGAACATCATCTTAATCAAAATTCTCGCCAGATTACCATAGATCAATTATGTAGGGTAAGTTAATCAAGTGCCCTCAATATGTCTGCTGTCAGCCTTTCGTTCTCCCATAACCAAACTATCCACATCCACTACCCTAATGGAACATTCTACGATTAGGTCAACTATCCTCTTAACCTCTGGACCACCTTCGACTTCACAGAGGCAAAAGCTTTAGCTCGGCCATTCTGATTGTCTTTATCATTCTCCTTTTGGCTCGCCTGCCAAATTCCCCCCCTCGTCGTCGTCCTGGGAGCTAATGCGACGAGTCCTAGACGTAGAGTCATATGCGGGGCAAAAACCGCCATACTTCAAAGATACAGAAGAACTAATTGTGGTGAATGCTCAGCTAATGACAGCATGGGAGGATCTGAAATCTATTTCGCAGATCCTCGAGTCAACGATAAACTCGGTTGAAATAAAGGTGGATCCTGTTGGACCGTCGCGGGCATTCAGTCCTTACCTGCGTTTGATAGCAGAAATGGAGGATTCGAGGAAGAGAAGTCTAGAACACATAGAAAATAGGTGGAAGAAGAAGAAATGAATGCTCATGTGACAGATTTTTGGGGCGATATCTTTTGATAGTCATCCGCCGAAAGAGGAGTGGGTGAGGAGGTGTCACGGCCTGGACAAGCTGTGGAAGTGGAATGTGGTGTGTTTGTGTAAATGTATCTATGAATCATGGTGCCCTAAGGGCGGTGAAGAAGCTATATATATGCCTGTGCGCAGCACGTGACAGGAGGATTGACATGAGTGATGCCATAATCTCCTAACACTAACTACCTTACATCTTTATTCTCTTTGATGGCTTCCCGCTTCCTAATCCTCCTTGAGCATTCACGGATCTTTCACCAAGGGCTCTTGCTTTCTTCTGCGTTTCCCTCTGTTCCTTGCGCGTGGTCTTGGGCATTGCTATGCCATGAACATTGCTCAAATGACTCGACAGTTCCTGGGGAAGCATCTCTTGCTGATAGGTACAGGTTATTGGGAAGCAAGGGCACATAAAAGTTGAAAGCAAATTAGGGGCGTCGATATGTGCCGCTATGTGGTCAAAATTGCTAGAACGGGTGACCTGGCTCATCGTCGCCGAGATTCTCTCAATAGGCGACAGATTCTCGTTATGAAGGCAAAACGGGCAGAAGGAAGGGATTGTTCGACGTCCATTGTCAAATTGGCCAGCGTACCCATGCTCTCTAACCAACCTCCATACCTCCTCCCAATGGGAGGCAAAATGATCATCTTTCCTGACCCCGAACTGCTCCCACTCCAGAAACTGCTCGCAAATACCGCACCACGAGATCGACTTGACGGAGAGGGGACTAAGTCGGTGCTCATAGTACAAATGGCGGAGATAGTCTTTTTCAGAGGAAAAGATCGAGCTTGTTAATAGTATAACTTTTGGGGGGCCCTGAGTATCATTGGCTGTCGGATTTGTGAGGATAGCACAGCTATTGTAGTAGCAATGCCACTCCCCATGAGGGATATTCCCGGCTACGTAATATTTATGGTAAAGCACTAGTGTATGCTGAAAGACATGTCGGGTTTGATCACGGCGAGTCTTGAATGAGGAAAACCCACAAAGCTTTGGATTTACCAGCTTGAGAGGCCCTTGTGCATAGTATGAGCATGGCAATTCGAGAGGCAAGAGATGTTCTTCGAAGGCCTCCTTCGCAGTCTTATTAACTTCTTTGGCGTGGGCACAATGAGCAGCTTCAGGTGCATGATAGTTAGAGGATAGATCGGCCCCAGAAAAGCGACACGTATACGTGCCAAGTAGAGGTTCCTCCCCAGGGATGAATTTACCAGACTTGTGCGTGGCAGAGAAAACCTCGACCATAAGATCAGACAGCGCTGCATCTGTATAACCTCCCGAACTCACTACCTCTCGAAATCGAGTGATTGACATGCTCTTTGGTATTGCACTTCCGTCGTTAATGTTATGGAGACGAATGGCTTCGAATCCCTCCAAATAGTAATGGGGTAAGCCGATGGAAGAATTGCCATTCGTCTCGAAATCATTGTCTGCCATTCGTCTCGAAATCATTGTCTGCCATTAACGAGCCCTCGCCAGAAGCCTCGCCATGGCCCTCGTGTCCGTGTGAATCGACAGTGCTGGTTATATCGAAGTAATCTAGAGACTGAACAGCTTCCTCGTCCTGTGCGACCTCGAGCATCCAGTCATGAGCATCTACTAGGGTAGTGTCGGCAGACATAGATCCAAACTCTGGATGGGGAATCGTGGGTTATAGAGGATGCTGGCCCGTGAACGCCATGCGATATTCTTCTCGGTAGATAGCGCCCATAAGAGCTCTTCGACGGTTCTTTAACCGTGCAGTTGCTGCAACGAGGCTTTCGATGAGAGGATCGCAAGCACGGACGGCAGCACTGATCGATCCGTATAACTCGCAGAGTTCAGATTTGACCTGCGAGAATTCGAGACCGGCCTTGACGATCTCAGGATCCTGCTGTACCCTGAGCCACCCTTCTTCGCTGATGGTCTGGGGCAGCTGCTGGGTTCTGTTGAGGGAGAGCCCATGCATTTCGGCTGCATTACCAGCGCGGATGCCACGAAATACCTCCTGTACACTGACAACGGATATGGCAGAGTAATAGTGACTATAAATATCCGAGTTGGTCTTGTGGCCCATCAAGAATCTCCGATCTTCAGTAGACACATTTGCGTAGAGTACGTTTGCGTATCCTCTACGTAGCGAGTATGGCGTCGCGGGGTGTTCAAATCCAGCCAGGCGACCAAGGCCTGTGATATTCTCCCCAAGCTTTGCGCTGCGAAGAGGCTGTCCTAATGCTGACCGGAACACAGGAACTCCGACAAAGGCTTCCGACTGACGAATCTTGCGAGAATAGGCACCTACGATTGGGTCCTTCGTTAGAATAGGCGGCGTCGATTTGTGTCCGCAGAGGATATGCTTACTTGGTTCAACAGCAATCAGGTCAGCCCATGTCATCCCCGGCCCAAAAACGCCGTCGACCAGGCCCAACGTGACGAGTAGACGTAACGAGTCCTGAGTGGCCATCGCGGTAGGTAACAATCGGAGAGTGATAGTTTTCTGCTCATCCGAGGTCGTCTGGCCTTTCTGGTACTTGAAATTAATGTTGGCAGCGATCACACAATCACCGTCGTCGAAGCGAACCACGTAGAAGTCGCAATGGTCCCAGCAGAGGCAATGATTTGCCTGTTCTACAACCGCCGGACCACCCCAAGCAAGGTCCGAACTACGGCCGCAAGAATCGACGTAGAGATTCATGTACAGCGCTAGGTTGAGTATCAGTCTGACGCCAGACAGCTTGAGGGCAAAGGCATCCGAGAAGACCATAGCGATCAAGACATCAAGATCGTTTTTCGTAGCCACCGGCTTCACTCGAGTCTTGTTTGATAGCTCGCCGTCTCGCTCCAGCCTGTTAATATATACGTAGGCCTGTGACATTTCTTCAGCGGTCAGCTGCTTCTTACCAGAGAAGCGGTAGGCGGCGCAAAGCGTGTGCGAGATGTAGCCTCGCGCTGTTTTCGAGGTGATCCTCTCGTCTAGCTTGCCAGACGACGTTCGAGCAAGGTACAGGAGGAACAGCCTAACCAGCTCGAGCGATATATGCTGGGCGCCGGAGCAGAAGTACATCTCTGGGTCCTTGATTCGGACTGGATTCAAGAGTCAAGTGTTAGCTAGATCTAAGAGAAGGGGAGCAGCAGCAAATCGACACTGCCGATTTGGACAACCCGGCATGCCAGACTTACCTCGGGAGTCGTCTGGACCGACGAGCTTAATGAAGTCTTTGAAGCGTTTGACGGCGATCACGATCATGTTCTGGTAGCTCCATGAAATCGGTGGAGCAATCCATTGTGATACGTCGGTGTCGCTGATCGAAGTCCCATCAGCCCGCTGCGCGTCCCGCGCGAGCTTTGCGATGCGATCATTCAACTTCTTCTCTTTGACGCTCAGCGTCCTCTGCTGTCTCTGTAAAGGAAGCATTGCTCACAGCTCTTGACGCCAAATAACGGCAGAAGTGACGAAGATGAAAGAGAAGAGTAGACACCAAATCATGACGGTGGTGCCGGTCCTTCCTTCTTCCTTGACGGGCAGAAACGCGTGGGCACGGACAGAAACGCGTGAGCACGTGGCTCTTTTTAGACGAAGGCCGCAGGCCTTCGTCTAAAAAGAGACGATTTCCCTGTCCCTGGCGGGCCTTGAATGAGAGCTAGTCCTGTGCTGAGAGCTTGAATGACGGCGAACTGTTGGGCTTCGTCGAGCGTGGACCCACCGTCTAGCTTAGCGTAATCGAAAGATTGCCCCGGTTTTAGAGTCAGTGGTATACTAGCGAGAATTTCGAGATTGAAACTGAATCCTCTTTTGGTAGCGTATACTGGAGGTTTGATGACGGCAGTAGAAGTCTGCGAGTCTGGTGCTATGATCTCTGCGAATAGAAGGCTTAGTTTCCGACTCATTTTCTGTAATGCTTATAGGGTTAGTTGAAAAGATAGCAGGAGTATCCCCGGAAACTCAACGAGCGATTACCGAGTTTTGGAAGGCGTAATGTGAGTACTAATCCAAACTGTATCTTCCGTTTTATATTCTGCCAAGCCCAGTAGTATAGACGCATGATTCGCTTGTCTGAAAAGGCTGGGAATATTATCTAGTCGTCTTTTGTTATCTGAACTGGAGTTATTTCTTTCGTGGAATGGCAGGGTTGGATTATAGACAGAGAGGAATATGATTTTACTATTTGCTGAGACAAAGCAGACTAGCGAATTAACTTGTAAAAGCTTGCTTCCTTTCCACTAGTCCTCTTGCTGCTTTATAGATTTATTATTAATTTGGGGAGGTTAGTCAAATTCTACTATGACTTATAGACCTTTTCTGTAATCTATATATATACGGGAAAAGCGGATATTATAATAGATAAGCTTCCGAACGCCTTATTAACCTTGGTATATTGGAATATTATAATTGGGATGTTTTAGTCTCGTAACCTCTTTATATACTATATCTCGTAGTTATCCTACTATATCTTCGCAGAGGAGTCGGAATTGTCTATCTAGTAGTCCGGCAAGGCCTGACAGGTGGTATTATATTAAGTCGATTAATAGGAGGTATTCTTGTTATAAGGAAGCAATCTCTTGTATTATAGGGAGGATCTGGATATTGGCGATACCTGTAATGGGCACACGTGATGGCGCATGGACAGGTGTCAGATGTCGTGGATCTAGTTTCCTATTTTGGGTACAGCTTGCGATCGGAATCATATGGATCGCATGGGATTTCCTAATTAAGTAAAGGGCTTCGCATGCCTGGCTAAGTACTAGGGAATATATAGGGAGACGCTCCTAGCTTTGGAAGGGGTATTAATTAGTCTCTTGTTAGAATCAATTCTTGGAATTAGTTATACTTGCAAGCGTTACTCTGTAGCTTACTTACCTTGACTACTTATATATTACCCTGCTATTACATACCTTACATTCTAATTGATCCAACCTTCGGGGAGCAGTTCGTTGCGAGGTAGTCAAGCCATTAATAGACAAAACCACTAATGGCTAGAGTATTAACCAGAAGAAGCGCCTCTGCTATTACTGGGGCGACCCAGTCGGGCACCCAGGGAAGCGCCTAGTCAGCCACTCTAGCTACTGCCTAATCAGGAGAAGGGAGTGGAATTCAGATACCCCTAGAACCAGCTAGCAGGATAATAATAACGGAAAAGCTAGCGGCGGCTCGTTATTATATTACTGAGTTAGAAGCAGAGATATAATAGAGGGAGGATCTGGAGAATCTAGAAGCTCAGATTCGCTATCTTAAGAATATTCGGGTACCTATTATAGAACCTATTATACTACTAGTAGTATATTTGGTTTACAGGACTCCAAAAACCCGAGAATTACTAACTTATAAGGGGAAGAGTATTAAGGAAGCCCAGGATTTCTTTTATTAGGCAGAGCTAAAATAGTATAAAGATAGCAGAATTACCTGGGCTATAGATATAGTAAAGGTTATATATTATATTTCCTGCTTTAAGAATATAGCCAGAGATATCTAGAAATATAGGGAGTAATTAGTAGATATTAATACTATAAATTAAGAGACCTTTATTAAGTTTATAAAGAATTCTATCTTGGATCCAGAGAACTATAGTAATAATATTCTTATTAAGTTTAAGAATACAAAATAGTAGCTAGGTTAGAGTATCTAAAGCTTTATATTCTACTTAGATAGCCTATTAAATAACTTGGGATATACGGATTTACTATAAGAGCGGAATAACTTATTTAATAGTTTAAGGTAAGAGATTCGGAACGAGATTAATTACTAAAGAAATACTCTATAAGAAAGGAAGAAGCTTATTTCTGTAGCTATAAGAGTTAAGAATAACTTAAACTAGTCTATTTAACGGAAATATAATAATAAGCTAATAGATTAATAAAAGAAAGGAAATTAGAAAAAGAAAAAAAGAAATAATAAAGAGAAACGGAAAAGAAGTATATTCCCGTTATAAGGTTTATATAACCAGGATAGTAAAAGTATAATAATAGGGTCTAATATAATACCTATATTAGGATCTATAAAACCGGATATAACTTGCTTTACTTACTAGAAAAAGAGTTATTATACTATTACTTATCTAAATTAGGAAAAACCGACTTGCTATAACTATAATAAGTCTAGCTATAAGATATATAAGTATCTAGAACTAAAGAAGCCGGGAAACGGATATATCCTATAGTAATTATACTTATTTATATTATAGAGAATAAGGCTCCTAAAACGAGAATAGTAATTAAGATTACTATTAAAATAAGGAAAGATAAGTAAAGAATTAGAATATTAGTTAACTCGAATATAAAGGCTAATTATATAAAGAGGAAGTTAGCCTTAGATATAGGTATTCCGTTAATATTAAGAGTAACTCTCTTATTCTTATTAGAGAAAAGAAGGATTTATTTATATAGAAATTATATTCTTGGGATTACTATTAAGAATATACTAGAGAACTAAAGAAAGGCTAATATATATTTTATATTATATAATTTTGATCTGAACTATATTAATATAATACTTGAATTCCTATAGTTTTATTAGGTTAATTCTCTAATTTCCTTTAGGAAAGTAATATAGAAATACCAGATTTAATTATAGAAGATTAAAGTTCTAAATACCAGAAAGTTTACTAAAATAATAAAGTATAAGATATATATTTTTCTATTAACTACTTATCTTATAATAGATAGTTAAAGAGTTATTACTATTACTATAAATAGAATAGCTATATTTTCTAGGAAATATTAGAACTTTTTCTAAATATTCTTTATAGAGGCTATAGGTATACTACCCGACTATTATATAATAAAGTATTATATAGATCTGGAATTAGGATTCTAACTACTATATAATCCTATATATACTTTATTAGAAAGAAAGCTTGAAATTCTTTAGGAATATCTTAATACTAGCTTAAAGAAGAAATAAATCCGTTATTCTACTAGTCTAGCTAGTATCCTAATTATATTTGTTTTAAAGAAAGAAGGCGGCTTATATCTATATATTAATTACTAGAATCTAAATAGGATTACTATTAAGAACCAAATACTATTATTACTTATTAGTAAAATAATAAATAGGCTTTATAAAGTAAAGATATATATAAAGCTAGACTTAAAAGATACTTATTATTAGTTATAAATATAAAAGAATAATAAATAAAAGACAATATTCCGAATATATTATAGATATTTTAAATACTATATTATATTCTTTAAATTATCTAATATTCTAATAATATTCCAGATATATATTAACTATATACTAGTAGGCCTTATAGATATTATTTATATAGTTTATCTAGATAATATTTTAATTTATTTAGAAAACCCAAAATAGTATATAATAATAGTCTAATATATATTCGAGTAATTATAGTAATACTAGCTTTTTATAAACTTGGTAAAATACGAGTTTAATATAGAAAGAATAGAGTTTCTGGAATTTATAATTAGCCTAGATAATATAGAAATAGAGGCTAGCCGGATTATAGCTATTAGAGAATAGCCGGCCCTAAAAAATAATATCTAAGAAGTTTAAATATTCCTGGATTTTACTAACTTTTACTAGAGGTTTATTTATAAATACTTTAGGATAGTAAAAGGGTTAACTAATTTACTAAAAACTAGCAGAAAACTACTATATTAGTTTAGCTAGATAGATAAGGTAAATAAGGCTTTTAGAAAGCTATAAATTATATTTATAATAGTACTAATTCTTTATTATTTTAATCTAGTTTTAAAGATTTATATAGAAATAAATATTTCAGGATTTGTAATTATAAGTATAATTTCCTAGCTCTTTAATAAGGAAGCAGAAGCCAGGTAATACCCTATTATTTTCTATTTAAAAAAGATAACTATAATTAAGAATAAATATAAAACATATAATTCTAAACTTTTAGCTATTATTCTAGTATTTTATACTTAGTAGTATTACCTAATATATATCTGGTATACTATTATTATTAAAACAGATTATAATAACTTAAAATACTTTATAACTAAAAGAAAACTAAATAGTTAATAGATAAGATAAGTAGAAGAGCTAGCTGCCTTTAACTTTATTTTAGAATACTGGCCGGAATATAATAATCTTACTAATAGGCTATTAAGAAAGCCAGACTTTATAGTAGATATAAATAAAAATACTTTACTACCTATATTTTATAATAAGCTATAGAATACAGAATAGAGAATCCTATAGGTAATAGTAATAGGATACTATACTATTTCTATAATACTATAATATAAGGCCTAGAAGAGAAAAGGTAGATACTTCTCAATTAGTGAAATACTAAGGAATTCCGAAAAGGAAGTCTATTTTAGTAATAGAATAGTATCGGAAATATTATTATTTAAGCCTATTACTAGTATAGCTAGTTACAAATAGTATATACTATAGATTCTAGCTATATAGGCAGCTAGGTCCGAAATAATATATAA